AGATGAGTTGTTCCGAATCAAATTGGCCCGACGCCCTAGGGATGAGCGGGATTGACGTTGCGCCGATAGCCAGGAATCTGCGAGACGACACCTGACGTCCGAAGCTACGCGGGCTACGTCCACCTGCCGCCCGGAACTCTGGACGATGTGAACGGAGAGGCGCAGGACTACCCAATCAACACGTGAGTTTCCCGCGCATTGGGATCAGACGATGGGGGCTTACCACCAACGCGCAGGTTCTTCTGGTTCTTCGAGGCCCGAAAGGCGCCCGAGAATGCGCCGCTGGCCATCTGGCTGAATGGCGGGCCCGGCGCGTCGTCCATCATGGGACTGCTTGAGGAGAACGGCCCATGCTTCGTCAACGAGGACTCCAAGACGACGCGACTCAACCCGTTGAGCTGGAATAATGAGGTGAACCTTCTTTACATCGATCAGCCGAATCAAGTGGGCTTCTCTTACGATGTTCTCACCAATCTCACCGCGCACATGAATGAGGAGGGGTTCATGGAGTCGTTCCCCGCCGACTTCAGCGACGGGATCCCGGAGTCTGGCAACTGGACTTACCGATATGGTACTGCGTCGAGCCAGAACATATCTCAAACTGCCCACACCACGGCGCATGCTGCTCATTCGCTGTGGCACTTTGCCCAGACCTGGTTCTTTGAGTTCCCGTTCTACAAGCCCATCGATGACAAAGTGAGTCTCTGGGCTGAGTCGTATGGCGGGCATTACGGGCCTGGTATCCTGAAGCACTTCCAAAATCAGAATGAGCTGATCCAAAACGGAAGCTCGCCTGAGAAGGATGCTCACTACATCCATCTCGATACTCTGGGTATCGTCAACGGCCTCATTGACTTTGTCATCCAGGCTGAGACGTGGATCACGTTCCCATACAATAATGTGAGTGAAGTTTGCCGCGGGATCGTGCGTCTTAAGATTGAGTGAATGCTAAGTCATGAGCCGAAAGACATACGACATCCAAGTCTTCAACCAGTCCATCTACGATGAGCTGATGTACAACTGGACCCGCCCCAACGGTTGCCGTCAACAGATGGCTGATTGCCAAGACGCCCTGAAAGAGCACGGCCCGTTGCTCGCAAGCGGCAAGAAGAACTACACGGAAATTTGCGGCGGTTTTACCAGCGAATGCGGAAATAAAGCTGTTGAACTTTACCAGTCAATCGGTAATGGGTGGTACGACATCGGCCATCCCAAGCACGACCCCTTCCCGGCCCCGCATCTGTACGGATACCTCATCGAGGGGGAGGTGCTTTCTTCTCTCGGAGTTCCGGTGAACTACTCGGAATCTTCGAGCGCCGTGGGCAGGGCTTTCAATGAGAACTTTGGTGTGCAGCCTTACCTTCCACCCGGAGGTGGCCACTTTGGATGAACGTAGAGCTGATACCGTGTGTAGACATCATCCTGGGCGGGTTCAGCGAGTCGATTGGATATCTCCTCGACAGCGGAGTCAAGGTTCACATGATGTGTAAGTTGCCGTCCCACTCCCGGGGCGCATTAGTGTACGACGTACGAATGGGTCTCTGACATATTTGTAGACGGTGATCGCGATTATGCGTGCAACTGGGTTGGCGGGGAGAGGGTGAGCCTGACGATTCCCTACAAGCGCTCCGAGGACTTCGCCAAGGCCGGGTACGCCCCGCTCGTGACGCCGGACGGCATCACGGGCATGACGCGGCAGTTCGGCAACTACAGTTTCTCGCGGGTGTTCCAGGCCGGCCACGAGGTGCCGTCATACCAGCCCGTGACGGCGTACGAGATCTTCATGCGGGCGACCTTCAACCGCGACATTGCGACCGGGCTGATCCCTGTGACTGATGAGCTGGCGACCGTTGGCCCTCTGGACATTTGGCACATCAAGAACGTGCCGCCTGCGCAGCCTGACCCCGCGTGCTACGTGCTGAAGCCTGACACTTGCGCGCCCGAGGTGTGGGAGATGGTGAAGAACGGTACTGCGTTGGTGAGAGATTACTACGTGGTTGGGACCATCGAAGAAGATGGCGATGAAGAAGTTACGCAGACGATTCAGGGTCCGGAGAAGGGCGAACAGCAGGTTTCCGAGGAGCTGTAAGCGTGAACCCTCTGGACAAGACTAGTGTTTAGTCGCTGCACGCTGCCACGGTGATTCCTAGCTCCAGCAGCCGGGAGAGCAAGATCAAGCCCGTCGGCCAAGTGTGTTTCAGTGATTGGACGCATGAGGGAGAAACCGTCAGAAAACATGCAGCGCTGGTCGCAGCCCTATGCCCTAGCGCCGGCGTGTTGGAATGGTTTGGTATAGCAGCGGACCGCGCGTTTTTAAGCTTAGCTAGGGCTATGAAAAGAAACATTCAGCGCCGTGCCATTTTCATTCCAAGTTGTCTCGATTGAATGGGGTGGACGGGAAACAAAAGGGACGGAAAATGTGTGCTAAAAGAAGCGACCCCCAGCCGGATATGGTGCCGTGTGGCTCGCAGACCCAAGAAACAAACCGGCCCCGATATGCGAATCAATGAATCATCCGAAAGCGCTGGCCAACCGGGGATCGTCGGCGAGACTCACGATGCCGCTTGGCGGTGCATTTCATCCGATCCGATGACCTGGACCCCCCTGGCGGGAGGATGTTGCGCCGGCGGCAAGCCGTCACGCAACAGCAGCAGCAGCTCTCAACTCGTTCGACCCCTCCATCCCGGGAGGCGCAGCAGTCCGCGCCCGGGTGGTGGCCCAGCCGGCGTTTCTTGGTGAGCTGGGAGCTGAACAAGCCAACAGCGGCTACAGCAGGTTGCAGGGGGCAAGCTTTGAGGCCGCGTTTTCAGACGGAGTCGAGTCTTGTCTGGCGTCGTGTCCAGAGTCTCTTGTGTCATTGGGTGGTCAACGCTTCTTTGCAGCGCAACATTGGGAGCGGGTTGCGACCGGTGCTTTTTCTGAAGGGTGACCCTTAGCATGAACTGCAGCAACAGACAGCAGACATGTACCACGACGCGCGCTGTGCTGTTGTCGTGCGCCTTTCACATGCCAGCTGATGAGACAGGGGAATGATATCAGGACGCAGCAACCCAGCCCATCTCTTGCACTTCAAGAATGATAAGGGTCCCCTTTTTGCAATCCCATCTATTTGGCGTGTTACTATCGAACTCTCATAGCGACTATTGTCCAGCCGAGGTCACAAAGGTGCAACAGCCCATTTATATATCCGTACTGCTGCTGGAGCACGATTCATCTCCACTGATTTGCAGAACAATTGCGTTTTGGACGACGCCCAGTTGCTGGCTGAAACAGAGCTGAAACCCCAGTCACAGGCCGCACGACAGCTCCCTGGACGAGGGCGTTTGACCCTTATTTCTTGCTACCGTTATCAACACAGCTTATCATCAGATTGACGAAACTGCGACTCCATTTGGGAAGAGGACATCACTTTATAGAAGACGAATCTTGGGTGGAATCTTGATTGGGAAGAAGAATACGGATACGACAACTTCAACCAGTCAGAGAAACAAGTCACAATCATGGATACGAAATCATTTTCGTCTCGCATTAGCGACCTCGTGAAGGTAAGCTACTCAGCGACAGCAATCGCTGACGGGTCTCCCAGCGGGGCCTGAATGATTCAAGCATCGCCGCTGACATTCCCACCACAGTTTCTCTCATCAGTACAAGGCGATCTCTCCAATGTCACCGCACCGCCATCTTTCCTGGCGCCCTCGTCGGTCGTCGAGGTCGGCCACTGCTGGTCGCAGAGGCCAGGCGTCTTCGTTGCTCCGGCCCTCGAACAGGACCCGGAGAAGCGTTCGTTGAAGGTGCTGCGCATGATCCTTATCGCTATGCGCAGCCAGTTCTACGTCGCCGGCGCCCCCAACGTCAGCATCAAGAAGCCCCTCAACGCATTTCTTGGCGAGCTTTTCCTTGCGTCCTGGAACGAGGGCAAGGCGTCGACGAAGCTGGTCGCTGAGCAGGTCAGCCACCACCCGCCCATCACGGCGATGCACATCGCGAGCAAGGAGCACGGCATCCGGGCGGATGGGTACGCGCGCGTCGAGATGACGTTTTCGAGCAGCGTCAACATTCGCCAGATTGGGCACGCGGTGGTGCACATCGACAAGTACAACGAGGATTACCTGGTGCCGCTCCCTGACGTCAAGGTTCGCGGGTTCTTGAACGCGTGCTTGTACCCCGAGGTGATTGGCACATACTACATCGTCTCGAGCACGGGCTACGTATCGGAGATCAAGTTCTCGGGGACGGGCGTTTTCAGCGGAAAGAAGAACTTCTTTCAGGCGAGGATGTACCACAAGAACGACAAGAAGGCGACGATTTACTCATTGGAGGGTGTCTGGAGCGAGGGCTGGACTGTGAAGGACGGCAGGACAGGCGACGTTATCGAGAAGTACGAGGTCGACGCGTTGGAGAACTTGCCCGCGCCCATGGAGATTGAGCCGATTGCCAGCCAAGATCCGTGGGAATCGCGCAAGGCGTGGGCTGGCGTCATCGAAGGCCTTGGGAAGAACGACTTCCGGGAGACGGTGAACGCGAAGAGCGAGGTAGAGCAGGCGCAACGACGTATGAGAGCGGAAGAGAAGAAGAAGGGAGAGACCTGGGAGCCGTTATTTTTCAAGAGCATCCCTGGGTCGGAACATGACATTTTCCACCAGCTGGCCAAGCCTGTGAACTGGCAGCTTCATGATAAACATACTAAGGGTGTTTGGAAGGTTGATGAGGACAAGCGGGATACGGTTCAAAGACCATTTAGAGGGGAACTGACGCCTTTGGGATAGGCACGGCAGTGCTCACCTACTAGATTTTCTGTATCATGTTCACGACTGGCGTTTGGATTACAGAATTGGAATGGGATAGGCGCTTCGGAATTGGCTTAGGACTATAGGATGTCAATACACTATTTACTACTTATTTACGCTATAAACTCTGTATCTCAGTCCCAACCGCAAAGAATTGAAGCGATACTTCGTTCACAACCACTTGACAGCCCAGCATGTGTCTTCCTTCCTATTTCATATCGCAGTGCCACCGTCGCCACCAATTGCGATAACCCCCTTTCCAGCTGCTTTTTCGCTCTTGATCCTCGCATAAGCATTGCCTGCGTCCCCTAAGCCAAAGACATCCTCGATCACCGGCTTGACTTTGCCTTCCTCAATCCATCTGGCCACCTGTAGTGAGTGCTCCGGGTTTGCGAATACTGAATGGAACTTGAACCTTCTCTTTCCGCCTCCAAAGAGCCTTGGGAGAAAATGAATCGAAATCAAAGTCTTGAATGTATGGGCTGTCAAAGGCAAACCAATCGCCACGTAGGTCCCGTTGGGGACGAGATAATGGTGACTTTGCCAATACAGCTCCGTATTCAGAAACATCGTATCCAGTATGTGATCAAACTGTTCCCCTTGTCTCCTGAGCGTGTCTACCAGGTCACCATTTTTGTGGTCAATCACATCATCAGCTCCAAGACTCCGGCAGAAGTCGGCATTCCGCCCCGAACAGACGGCAACAACTCGGGCGCAGCCTAGAGCCTTAGCAACTTGAATAGCGAACGTCCCGGTGCCACCGCTGCCTCCGTTGATCAAGACCGTGTCTCCCTCCTTCACGAAGGGAGAAAGTGCTTGCATTGCCGTTACACCACATATACCGACACACGCGGCATCCTTCAACGATACGTCGGCGGGGACCGATGCGATGCCTGATTTTCCTATCACGACGTACTCGGCCAGCGTGCCACACTTGTGCATCTCTGTCCTTCCAAAGACGCGCTGGCCAAGTTGCAGTGTGGTGAGAGTTGTTGCGACAACGGTGCCCGAGTAGTCCACTCCGGGGATCGCTGGGTTGGGGAAGATGCGGTTGACGAGGGGAAGTTCGGCGAGCTTATAGTCGTGGTTGATGGAGGCGTAGGCCACTTTCACGAGCGTGCAGCCCTTGGGAAGTGAAGAGGCAGTCTTGGGAAGTGGTGCGTTGGTGACGAGCTTGAGGTTTTTCTCGATACTGCCGGTGGTGGTACGCCATTGCGCCACACGCATTGTCGCAGGAAGCTGGGTGGATGATGCCATGCTGGCATTAACTGCCGAAGGCTATAAAAGCTTCGACTTCAAGACGACGTCCATGGACTCATTATACTTTTGAACACTATCAGATTTAGCATAGCGATTCAAGGTCGTTCGTTGTATGGCCATCTTGAAGCTGACAGTGGCGTGATAAAGCGGAGGTAAGGATCAAGTACCAAAGCCGCCGGAGCGCTGGAATTCACCGCGCTGACGACATGCCTGATGCCCAGTGCGATAGCTCAGGAAGCTTCCTGTAGTTGACGGTGGCCTGAGGGTGAGAAACCAATCATTGTGTTGGGCGTAGACGCTGTGCCGCGATTGAGCTTCCCACGGCGCCGATATTGGAGTGATTTATCAGAGGGATTGAAGCATCAGGAGACTTCATATTCTTGGCTCATGGTGTCGTCAAATAAGCCTTCAAACAATCGGGACTTCTGCCGCAAATAGAGCCATCGTAATGTTCACGAGCATCACCTATGGCAGTCTCGGAATTGAATCACTCCACATTCGGGTTCAGTGTCCTCCATGCGTCCGGCCTGCTCCGGGCTTGCGTGACCCCACGTTCGCCGAACAGCGGCGCAATGCCCGATGGGCAGAAAGCATCTGTAGTCCGCTAAGGTATCTAGCTGTGGGTTTTTGTATGACTTGTTTTCACCTACAACAGCCATTGGCCACCCATGAGAAATTCTCCGGTCGTACCACATCAGCCACTTGGCGACTAATACTGCGGCAAAGGCGTTCATCATTCACCTTCGCTTCATTTCCCTGTCCTAGAGATCCGCCGTTTGGTATGTCACTACGTGAAAACGTATCCTAGGTTGTGACAGCTGAGCTGAATCGGAAGGATGCACATCCAAGCCAGTCTAGCTCGTAGAGGACCATCATTGCCTCATTGAACTTGGATGTCCCATCGATTGTAACACAGCACATGCATTGAAGGTGACGAGCCAATCTGCAGGCTAACATCGAGGACATCTGCAGGAAACATTTGTCATCAATATGTCGGCACCACTACGATTCAAGAAGGCTCCTGGCGGATCTGAGCTTGACTTCAATTATTGCTGCCAAAGAGGGCAAGATCTGCCTTTGCAGTAAAGCGCATGGTGGAATGAATCCCTGATATAGAGGCCCTATCTTCAGCTCTTCAATCTCTTTATGTTGAGGAGGTTTCGAGCCCACCCAGGAGGGGTTTTCACAGTAGACTTCGACCTCTTTATATCGGGCTCAATCCTACAAGCATCATTTGGCACCGGTCGAGTAACCTACTTCTTTTCATCGTCGGTTATGCCGGTCACTATTCCTCCATATTCACTACTCAATACTCTCAAAGCTTTGCGTATCACCTAGACTATGTGCGAACGAATGTGGCGGCTCATGACCGATATTTTCAAATCGATGGTCCATTTTCTTGACTCTATATGGAGAAACAATTACGCCCCGATTCAAAGGTTTCTGAATGAGCGAGACTCCAATCTACGCAACCAGCTGACGATCGCCTGGAGAGACTACACGCTTTCGCAATTGAACGTAACTCTGATCACAGTAACTTCCTCCAATGATTTGCGCTCCAATTAGACACTAAGGAGATACAGGCAGCCCTGATAAGCAGTGTCACCTCAAGCTCCTTGACTTGGAACCAGTTCACGAACCCAGCTGCCGAAACGTCTGCTGTAAAGGTAACCAGGGTTCTCTGGTACAGTGCATTTTTCGTGTCATTGTGCTCGGTTGGAGCGTCCTCACAACAATTGGTTGGTTTGCATCGGCTGAGCACCTACGCCGGGGGGCCATTCAAGCTACGACAACTCCTGAGTCAAATGTCAGATCCTGATGGGCATCTCGAGCGTTGCAAGACCAACGAGGACCCAATAAGTCTGGGTCTCGTGCAAGCTTACATATGGCATATTCCTCCATTTCTTCTGCTGGGCAGTTTATACCTCTTGGCTATTGGACTATGTGTTCTTGTATACGATCACATTGGCACTTTGTTTGGAACTCCTCATTTTGGCCCCTTTGTAAGTCAACCACTGCCCTGAGGTTGCGGTGTGACCGGATAACTAACATTTTCTTAGCTTGCTCTATATACCGTGATTTTCGTGCTGTCGATCAGCAACTTTTTGCTTGGTTATGTGGTCTTGTATCATTACATGGACGATCAAAAGTCGAGGGAGACATCGATCTAGGTATTCTTCTACACACCCCGTCGCTAGAAAGACTTTGGAGAAGAGGGGCCGAATTTCCACACAATGTAGATTCCAATGAGGTCATACGCATCTGTTGTAATGACCTTTTAATAAGCCTCCACGTAGCTCATCGAGGGTTTCCTAAGAGTTTCCTGACCTTAGTCATTTCAAGCCAGACATGGAGCTCAGCAAGACTAGTTAGATCCTTTTCTGTCCCCGTGCCATTAGTCTAATCAAGCCTCGGTCCTTTGTATCTCCTATTCGCATAACCAAACCAGTTACCGATGGCGAAAAGTCCCATCACTCCGATGACGACACTTGCGTAGTCTCCTTAAATCAGCTAAAAGCATTGAGAAGCTGGCTCGCAACGTACTTACTCATATTTGAAGCAGTAACGGGCATTACCACGGGGAAATCGTAGAATATCAATGCAATGAGACCCAGCGCGATTGTCAAGACATTGGCAACAACTCCGACAGGCTGTGGCAGTCGGAACTTGCACCTTGGTAGAACCCTCTCAAATGCTGCCGCCCCTTTGAATCTGTGATAGAGAGCCAAAGCCGCTGGGAAACTGAAACTGACTTGTTGAAGAATCAGACCTGTGGCGACCAAAGCATTGAACGCTGTCGAAGACCCAAGAAATACGCAGCCCAAAATGAAAATGAGAGCTGAGTTGAAAATGAGTGCGTTGACAGGCACGCCGAATCGCGGGCTAATATTGCCCAGAAATGACGAGAACACTATCGCATCGTCTCGAGCGAAGGACCATGTAAGTCGGCTGGCTGTTTGTAAAGCACCTGTACAAGCAAAGCAGCCGCATACAGCAATGGTCACAACGAAAGTTGTGGCTGCAGCAGAGGATCCTGTGGCTTGCGACCAAATCTCCAATATCGGATATCTGTATTCCCGATAGATTTTGTTACCACTCATGTCATCGAAGTCTCAGACGAATCAAGTTCGATGCGTGACTTACGGAGACTGGAGAACAGGTTCAATGTCGCGGAAGCTGTACAGCATCGCGACGCTGAACACGAAACTTGACACAAATCCAATTGTGACAGTGGAAATCAGAGCTTTGGGGATACTAGAGGCTGCATGGTTGCATTCTTCGGCCAAGTGAATGGCCCCATCCAGGCCGGAGTAGATGAAATTTGGGTTGAGCAAGCCAGTGAAAAAGACGATACCCTTTGACGACCAGCCGCTATCGTTGAAAAAGGTTGTCCACACGAAAGAGCTGACCTGCTTGGGGTTCGAACGTGCCAAGCAAGTGACAGTAATGACGAAGAAGGCTGTCAGCGAGATAAAAACTACGAAGGAGGTCAGACTAAGGCCGTGTCAAATCTAGTGGAAGTCCTAAGGGAACCTGCTTACACCCTAAGTCGTGAATCCAAGCTGTGCGTTTCATTAAAAAGATATTGTAGGCGGTGAATGTAAAATTGAAGGCCTGGAAAAGCAGGAATATATGCCACGTTTCCGGGATGTATCGAGGATCGAGGTAAGACGCCAGTGAGAGTACCATGACCGGCATCTGTATGACGAAGCCTGCTCCGTTGGCTATCCAGCCCAGGAAGTTGACTGAGCCGCAGCAGTAACTCTGCGGTATTCGCCGTAAGCATTGATATCGCGATTATTAACGTGTATATGGTCCTTACTAGTACACGGCTAGAACGTTCTGGTGCAAGAATGCTGGTCCAGTGATACTGGCCTCCTGCTGTTGGGTAGACGGAGGCGATCTCGGCCATGCTTAGTGCACAGGCACCCCCAAGAACGAAGATGAGAATGATGCCGTATAACAAAGTTACCGGACCGCCCGACGCAATTGAGATTGACAGTGTGACTGCGATAGCCGACCAGCTATTGCAAATGTTCCATCCGAGGCCAATGATCTCAAGAAGCCCAATGTCCCGTTTTGTGGGAGACTGGAGGCCGAGGCGTTTCAAGTCGGCATCTTCGTCGCTGCTCACTCCAGCCGAGTCATCTGGAAAGTCTAGCATCAGCCCACGATACCAGGACAGATTGTTGCGGTGTGTGCGACCTACTCTTTTCGGTCATTGCCGCGTCTCGGACGTAGGACGAGGGCTTGCCCTGGCTTTCCGCCGAGTCGAACACCATATCTACGACGAGAAATGGAGAACGAATGCGATGGCGTAGGTAATGACCAAATCAGAGGATTTCCGATTGAATTTAAGCATAACAAAATCCATACTCAGCATCACATTCTGCATTTCAAGATCAGACCACTCGGGCGACGGAATCTGCATGCCTGCATCGCTGATCTGTACCGAGCTGCAGTCATCCGCAGGGTAACGCTGCGATGTGCCAATTGCGAGCCCTCATTCGTGGCCAAAAATCGAAGTTTCACCATGAGAAGCAATCTTCATCTTAGTACGATGCAACGTATGCAGACTCATCACGTACAATACCTAAACCTTTGGGCAAAAGTCAGCTTGAAGGCAAGGTTCCGTCTAACCGAGATGCTCGTTTATGCAGGGAGGTGCCATCGCTTCGCTTTTGCGGTGCAAAGTGTTCCTCTTCTGCTTGGCTACATAAGCATCCAGGATTGCTTCTATCAGACCGAGTGTCTCACTGGTGTGCAAATGTTCAATACCAGCCCTCTCCACCTAGCTAGTGGCACAGTCATGAAGCGACTCTTACAGGTCACCATCGAAGGCGTTGCACGTAAAGGCCAGAAAATCATCCGTCTTGCCCCAAATTTACATGTTCTGAAAGCAAAGCGATGGAAAACACGTATGCAAGAGCTTAATTGAATCGACAGCATAAGTGCCCTCTAAGCTTTGATCCCTACACACAATACAAAAAAGATTCATCTACGCCATTGAGCGCCTGGTATTTGAAATGAAAGACAGGGAAAAAAGCATAAACATAAGAAGTTTCAAAACACAGAAGAGATCCCCAATGAAATGCCTAATCCCAGAGCCATCGTAGAGACGGACCATTCGAGAGTTCCTGCCATGTTGGGCCTATCACCAAAGCCGTCGGGCTCACGACTCCCCTGCACGACGTTGTTTGCTCGGACGCATCGAAAAACTTGATAGTCCGTCTGGTTTTCACCATCGTCATAGTTGAATGACAAAACGACAGGCCAGACTCTGGTCAGTGCTTCGTCGTAGGAGTCGTTGGTTTCCTTCTCATCAGAAGCGTTGAAAATTCCAGCCACCCATGAGTACAGGCTGTAAACCGGACCGGTGTCGTTGTTTGCTGTTGCCTCTGTCTGGTTCGTCAAGTTCCCTGTACTTGGTGTGAGATAGTAGCTCATACGAGAACAGGGTGACTGTCTTACTTATGAGGTATGATAGAGGGTCTATCTTCTTGCCGCAGCTGTCCGGTTTGTGGATCAGGTCACCGCTGGTTGAGTTGCATCGTGCTGTTCTGGCTGCTTGCTTCAAATCCTCAATGCACATATTCGAGATCCAGCCGTTGCAAGAGCCATCCGTGTCTTCGTCCAATGTTTCCAAGTCTTTCTTAGTGTACGGGTCGCTGATTCCATTCCAGACATACGAGCAAAAGGAGTAGTTGCTGCTGACGTTGCCTGCTTCGAACGCGTTTTTTGGGCCTTCGAGATCGATGGTGACAGGGTTCATGTTCCATACGGCGTTTCTCTCAGGTTCCTCTTTGGGAGTCTCGCCATTGGTTCTATTGGTTGCAACTTTTACCTCGATGCTCCAACCATTGCCTTGGCCATATAGAGTCGAGTCCGGTGGATTCACTAATGGTTTGGAAAGGTCAATACCGACGATTGGCCAGCTTCCGGTCGCATTTGGTTCCTTTACGGCATTTGGGACAATGGTGGAGTCGTTCCATATATCGCGATGGTAGAGTGTTCCACGGTTCGCGAGCGGGAACAATTCTGCGTTGGAGGCATAAACTCCTGAGGTGGAGCTAAGCCCTACTAACAAGCCGGTAGTCCGCCACAACATGCCCATGTCTACGTTCAAAGTGAAAGAAAATAAATGTGATAGAATGTTGATACTCAGAAAATACAAGTTAGAAATGGCGCCTAGACTGAGAATCCGCTGGTGAATGCTTCAGTAATAATAGACTTATGCTATGAGTGGACAGCGGTGTGACTACTGAGATGCCGGCGTGCTTTTATCATGTCTATTTAGGAGAATTTGATCTATCCCTTCTGCCTGATGCGTAGAGATATGACGTGGAGGCCTTACCATAGCTAGGTAAGATTGCTTAAAAATAAGCTTGCTTTCCCTGCAGGATTCGCGATCGGCGTGGCACAGAGGTCTGGTTGAGGTACTTTGGTATGTGCTGACAGGGAGCTAAGGTGACAGCTGCCCTACCGCTCTTCACTATTTGAGCTTGCCAAGACGCGATTTCCGTTATGTTTCAATTGAAGGAACGCCTTTTGTGTCGCATCGTACGTCATTCTTGAGGCGATGCGAGAGGGCGTAAACGCTCCTCACAATGCGGCACCTAGGCTGAATACAAGGCGAATTGCAACTGGGTATTTCGTTATTTTCATCTCAATGGATATTCTTAATACTCCAATATCGTGACCTAATGTCTAGCATCAGGTGCTGGTGGGCAAGCGGCGGTATTCGGCAACACATTCGTCGCGCCGCTTCCATCGAAGTAGCAGGTGCCCAAACTATTTTCGCATGGCGAGTCAGGACCAGGACAGCACCATCCATACGACTTCCACTCATAGTTCTACATCGATTGGGTTAGCTCTTTTGTTTAGTATGAGGGGTCAATAGAGGATACTCACATAGCAAGGCACGGGGGCAGCAACCGTGGTTGTGGACGCGGCAGGCTCGGTAACTACCTCAACGATTGACGTCGTTGTCGTTGGCTCGAAAGTGATGACTACCAACGGCGACGAGGTTGTATCAATCGCTGCAACTGTGCTAGATGGCTCCTGGCTGGACGAAGGGGAAGCCGACGTGGGAGGGGCGCTTGAGGGAGCAGCTGAAGGCTCATTGAGAGGGATGCTGGATGGCAAGTCTGAGGTGGTCGTGGTATCGTCGGCTCCTCCCCCTCCGGCTCCGCCACCTCCGCCCCCACCTCCTCCACCAACGGGAGGCACAACGGCGCCGCCCCCTGCGGCCGGGACGGCGATAGGAACTACAGGCTCATACTGGTTGCCGTTGGCATCTGTCATGGGTGGCGCTGTGCTGTAGGAGATGGAGTAGGAGACTCCAGAAGAGAACGTGATCGAGAAAGAGGTCTGAGTCGATCTACTAATGCTCCGCGTGCTGCTCTCGGCTTCACTAGTTTGTGACGGGGCGGAGGTAGTAGCTGATCTCGATGGGGTATTGCTGGACGATGGCTGGGCGGAACTGCTTGCCGAAGGGGTGCTCGAACTCGTCGAGGACGCCAAAGCTGACGTCGATGAAGGGGAGGACGATGATGACGAATAGGTGGAGGAAGAGTGGGTAGAGCTTGAGGGTGATGATGATGATGCGGTAGAACTGCTGGAGCTGGATGTTGCCGTCGTGGTACTCGCAGTGCTGCTGCTAGACAAAGATGAGGATGAAGATGAAGACGAGCGAGTACTCGAAGACTTGCTCGAAGAGCTTTTCTTGCTTGAGGTACGCGAGCTTGAGGACGTGGACGACCTGGACGTTGTAGTGTTTCGGTGTGTCGTTGTATTAGTGAAAACATGCGTGGAAAACGTCGTCGGTATCCGCGTCGAGTTGAACGTCGGAGGCGGCGTGATAGTGGGCGTGACTGGACCAGCTGCCTGGCGGTTCACGACATTGTAGTGAGCTGCTTGATGCTTGTAATGCTCAGCTCTCTGAAGCAAGTGATTGGCCTGTTCTTCACGATGTTGGAGCCCCTGAGTTACCCCTGCTACCGCAGTGAGGGCTACCAAAACAGCTGAAAGGTGCATTTTTGAAAAGAATGGACTCGACAGAAAGAGTGACTGCCTGTGTGGGTTGAAAGAGTGACTGGAATTTGGGCATCGAAGAGCTCACCGCAAACTTGCAAGATAGGAGAAACATGATCACATTTTGTACGGACGACCCCTTTGGCGCACCACTTCGTCGCTTCCCGTCTTGCACCGCCGCGAGCCCCATCACCAAGGCCGCTTGGCGAGCTAATGCATCTTGACCATCGCATTAGGAAGTTGGTATCCATCTGAATGCCACGCGAAGTCTCGGCACCGATAGGATGTTGTTGGCGTGCTTGAGCGGAGTCGGCAAGGTCGGCAGAGCCCCTTAGGACCCGACGTGCCCCATCGGCGAAGGGGACTCGGCCGCAAAGTCCGTCCGAATCCGGACCCCCGGGAGCGCGGGTAGGGAGCACCACGCCTCAAAAGCAGGATGCTATGCCAGTCGACGCAGGCTAACGAGACGAACGGTGGAGTAGAAATGCCCATTTGGTTGGCTGTGAGAGCTGCGTAGGGCTGGTGCCCGAGTCAGTTGTTGATGCTCCTGAAACTTCGTGTTAATTTGCTGGCTGGAAGATAGAGTGAAGACCCATCAACCCCTGTCTGGCAGAGAGCTCGGCGGAGGTCATGGCGTCGATGGGCGCGTTCACGATAACCACGAGGCATCAAGCGGTGCGGTGCCAACAACATCACCGGATTGCTCGGTGTAGGGCTGAGGTGAAGCGCGTGGCATTGCTGTACTAAGTGGGCAAATTGTGGGATCTAAAGAGATAGTCTGATCATGCAATCACGGCAATGAGGAAGGAGGATGGCAGGATTATTGATCAGGTTTAAAATGAAATCGCAGAGGAGATCCATCCTGCTGCCGTCTTCATGCACGTCAATAGATCTCCACTATTTCCATTCATAGAACCAAAATTGGGGCTTCTCAGTTTGGCAGGTCTGATTTTAGTCGGCAAAAGTCCGTTTTTCTGCTTCGGGAGAATATTACTCAGATAGGCAAACGGAATTATATGGGAAACATGGAGACCAGGGGCGATGATGGCGATGGAGGGCATTCGTCGGCCCAAATATCAAATCCCCGAGGTTCGGGAGATCTGACTATTCTACTACCTCAACCAGTGACGTATCAGCTGGTAAAGGTAGACTTCTATCTACATTCATCAAAAGGCAAAAGTTCGCTTTATCGACCAAGATATCCAGGTGCTTGTAGCCATCTCCAAACTTCTGCCCTGCTATCCTCACCGTCTCCATTAAGATATCAATGGGCCCAACATCCATGACTGACGTGATAATTGTGGGTGGGTTCAAAGATAAAAGATCTGCCAATGAACATCCGACATCAAACACCTTTTCCAAGATGCCGACACCATTGGCTTCAAACGCTGTGGTGGGCAAGAGCCTGGAGACGAGCACGGTATCTCGTGCGATGGTAGTCGGATAGCTGAGCGACATGCTGTCCTCACTGTCGGTCCCCGATAGCAGTGTCCTCGACACACAGAGCTTCCACACAATGACTTTCAGCCATTCCCGGGTGATGAGAAGATCAGCCTGCTGCATCGGAGAAAAGTTGGATACGTTCGCGAGTGCATTTGATAGAGTGTTTTGTAGCCGCGCCAGCTGTTCAGGCTCTGCCGATTTTGATGTCGACGATGGTGTAGATGAGTTCCATGTGGCGATGAAATCCGTGTCAAAAGGCCGGAATAGGGAAATGAGCTCCAGGAAGCCGGGCAGAATTTTGGCATCGGGGCTGAGCGGGTCGATCTGGGGAAGATCCAGCATAGGCTGCAGCGTCAATGGCCGATGCCGTTGCATTGCATAGGCTCTCTCTGTGATGAACAGCACCCAAAAGATGCGCCGTGCGTATTTTTTGGTGGAAGCGTCGGCGATTTCGTTGTATCTTGCTTCTTCATGATATCGTAGCGTTTGCAGAATGGTCATGGCCTCACGGATGTAAAACCATGCTGCGTTGTCGTTGTTGAGGCAGAAGTAGATGCAGTAGAGGAAGAATGAGGTTTGGACTTGTGCAAGTGACTGCGTATCGGCGACATTGTGGTATCTTCTTGATCGCAGAGCTTCTGAGAGGAAGAAGTCAACCGGAGGAAGATTGATCCCTGCTGAACTGCTTTGTTGTAGGTTGGATAAATCCGCAGGAGTTGACAGTATGTCGGGGTCCAAAGCGATATTGGCACAGCACGACATGAGAAGGCCATAACTTTCGGGACATCTTGGATATACGCGCACGCATTCTTCCATGCGTTGTTGGTCCAGCATTGGTGTGATGGGGTATTTGTGTTTGAAATAAGCGTCGAGACATCGTCTGAACATATCAGCCGATACTTGAGGCGACGGTTGGAAGCCGTTATCTACCCCAAATGCACTCCGAGGCAAGGCCGGTACTGGCGGTTTCGCTCGTGAAGCATGCCCAGTCTCACTGCACCCAACTCCAGGTTCTGGATGACCCGGTTGAGGAACTGAAGCCGGTGCCGCCTGTCGCCGATAGTCTGGTCTCCGCCCATATCTTGGTCCTTTTGGTCCGGTCTTCTTCGGGATCGCGCAGTACGTGCAGTCGACCTTGGCGATGCGACAGTTCATGCACGGACGCCGCCCATCGCATCGGATCTTGCGCGTGTGGCATGTATCGCACGCTTGTCGGACCTTGGCCGCCGCCTTTCTCAATCCCAAGAACGCGGTTTCTGGCGACATTTTCCCTCGAGCACACACAAACAGAAGATATCAAGAAGACGTTGAAGGAGCCTGCGAATACGAGTGACGCGCAAAGAATAATCTGGGGTTGGTGGGCTCGGTCCCCCTTTAAAGTCTAGACCGTCTTGGGTCTAGATTTAGACTTGGCGCATCGGTTTCCGATTGGAGAGAGGTTACCCCACGAGTCAAATTTGGATTCAATATTCAGCGAAAATGAGGGCGAGTTCTGCCCATCGACAATGAGGATCAAAAGCTTCCCATTAACATGTGGCTACCAATAATACCAGACCTAACCCGAGAGCGATGTTTCGGAGCACACTCCGCCATATGCTGCACCGTGGCGGCTTCATACACTCAAGCACGTGCCTTCTCAATAAGAACACCGTCCGCGACGACGTAATTCGCGAACTTTCGGGGTGGAACGCGATTCGCGTAGAGGAAATCGATGTCCTGGTAAGTTCTGTTCTTCGTCTCTGGTTGGAACCAGAACAGCAAGGCGAGGATGAATACTTCGGCGCCGACGAAGAGGAACATGACTTTGCCGCCCCAGTTCAGCTGATCCGGGTTGATAAAGAAGGGAAAGACTGAAGATAGCAAGAGGGCTGTGAGCTGTTGGCATACGAGCGTGAAGGCGATCGTCTTGGGTCTCGTCGCTTGAGACGCAGTCTCTTGAGCGACTGCCCAACCGAAGCATCCGACTGTCGCAGTGTAGAGCATGGACCATGTAATCATGAAAGCGAGCAGAGCCATGTTTGCTGCCTTGTTGGCCGTCCCAGCGAGGGAAGTGCCACCGATAATGATCGACCAGCAGCATAGCAGTGCGCCACCACCAACGAGGGATTTTCGACGAGGAAGGACATCGGAGACAGAGACGGCGAAACAATTAGAAAGGAGTTGCAGTGTCGAAGAGATCGCAGTTAGTCCGAAGGGGTCTGATTGGCCGATGAGTTCGAAGTAGTACGTCTGGTATGTGTTCTGCACCCAGTTAGCCTCATCACCACCACATCACCACATCGCCACCACAACTTCAAAAACCCATGAAATAGAGGAATTAAACTTGCCGCGAAGTACCCGCCCGATAGGTTTTGACTTTGCAAACCGAGCACAGCAACGAGAGTTCTGTATCGATGTTCCTTCGTGAAGATAGCTTTCCAGCTGGTTTGGCTGGCGGCGGTGTTTTCGCCCGCTTCGGTCTCCAACTCGGACTTGATAAAGTGGAGCCGCTCTTCTACGTCAATATTCTTGCCGTAAAGCTTTAGAATTGCCTTTCTGGCGTCGTCGTCCTTGCCCTTCTTGACGTACCACACTGGCGACTCTGGTAGGAACGGCAGCCCGATGGCGAATAATGTGGGAACGAGGAAAGTCATAACGAACGCCAGGCGATAACTCCATGGTCCGTCAATCTTCGACGAGCCCCACCCAGTTATGGAAGACAGAAAAAACCCAAGAACAATGACGACGTTGGTCAGTGAACTGAGTGTACTTCGGAGGGCGGCCGGGGCGTTTTCGGTAACGTATAGGGGCGGCGTGGCTGTTGACAAGCCGACGGACAATCCCAAGAGGAGCTTCGAGACGAAAAGGACAGGGAGGCTAGGGGCGAAGACGAGGGCGAAGGACGCCGCCCAGGATAGAATTACGGCGGTCCAGAGAACAGCCTTTCGGCCGGTATAGTCGGCGAACTGGCCGGTGAGGAAGGCGCCAAGCACTTGACCGATCGTACTTGCCGCGTTCCAGAGCGACTGCCAAAGGGCAGGAATCACGAACTGGTCTCCTGCCGCGTAGTAGTTGCCATAGGCCTCGCGGAACTCTGGGAAGGCGATAGCTACGCCTGACAGACCAGAATCATACCCCCATCCGAAGACGAGGGACATGATGTACAGAGCCCAGAACACATATCGCTTATCTTTCTTGAGGTTGGCCCAGAGACGTTGATACTGTTGCTTGGGTGTGAGGTCTGGTTGATCGGCGGTGACCTTGAGTGCCTCGTCAACTTCGGCACCAGACTTTTCGACGTGGTTGGCAGAAGGAGACTTGGCTATCGCCAACTCAGTTGATTTGGTGGCCATGAAGGGCTACTTAAAGCTGGAGGGTATAAGAAAGAATTAGGGTTTGTTGAGATGTTTCGGGAGCCCGAAGAGGGTGTCAATGAAAAGAGACGAGAAATAGCGACGATTTATATCAACTCCATTGAGCCTCTTACACAGACACTGCCTCTGGGTGCTCGGCCTCCGATCCACCTCCGGAGACACGAGGTATGGTGCCAGTCCCCACGGGGAACAGGAGATTTCGTGGAGAGACATCGCTAGCGTCTCCAAGAATTCGGGACTTCTCGCAATGGAGGGAGAAAAAGGTTGGTTTTCTCTGTGGAAAGAAGATATATCGTCCGTGTAAGTCGGCGATGCTGTACCTCATAGCATACCCAAGGCATTCCCGATGGGGTGGCTTCGGCTGAAATGGTTGAATTTCGATTGGTGGAGATCCCTGTAAAGTGGCTGCGGGAAAAATGGGTGAATTATCATTGGGTAAAATAATCGCTGAATTGCAGAGCACGGCTGAACTGTCATTGGTTATTTCACATTCACAAGTACTTCTGCATTCTCGAAAGAACTCTCCCATTGTGAATTTGTGACATGATCGAAGGAGTGCTCCGACGGGATGCATAGAAGCGAGACCCTAGAAGGATTCTGTGGTTTCATCCTCAGCATCCAGGCTTTCTGATCACAGATGTCTTCGAATACTTATCACCGGCTTTTGCGGTGGAAGTGAGGAAGATGGTGGTGAAGGTGGCTGTCGCAAGAGTTGCAACTAAACATAATTTTATCATGGGCTAAGTGCGTATCAAGCCTGAGATATTGCTAACTTCTGGATATTCGGGCGCCGTCGTCCATTCTCGGTAACTAAATGGCCTTCGTCGCCTTTATTGTCGCCGTGGTCTCTGTTGTCGCCCCTCTTGCTGTTGTCCCTGCCGTTGTCCCTGCCGTTGTCCCTGCTGTCGTCTTTGTCCCCGTCGTCGTCGTCGTCTCTATTGTCCTTGTTGCCTTCGTCTCTGCCTCTGTCACCATAACTATCTTCGTTAGTCCTATTGCCTCCATCGTTGTTATTGCTACTAATGTTCGAACCGATCATTGACGCTGTTTGTAAATCCACCCTTCCAATCGCAACTATATTAAACAAAAAGGCTATCGGCGATGCCCCGAAAGCCACACTTTCTCAGGTGACAACTTAGTGATCTAGATCTTGGCCTCTATGACCGAAAATTTCAGCGAGACTTGTTTTGAGTCTTAGTGGAAGGATTTCGATGTGGATTGTTGCGGACATTCCAACGACAGATCGATCTTCAGAATCACGTAAGTCGAAGTTCACCCACGGCTGAACTATTTGGTGTTGTTTCTGTTCAAATTAATGCTCATGTTGAAGGCCATGGCGCTAGTCTTCGCGAAGTGGCGTCGCGCAACGAATCATAATTCACCCTTCTGAGCCTCAAAATTTCACCCGAGCAACCCCCATCGTCCGTGTCTACCCCGCCGGGATCCGGACCGCATGTTGGTACCTAGGTATTAGACGTCCAGGCTAAGAGCCTCAGTTTGAACATAAGAGCCGTCGCTACGTCCAATTATTTCCGTATTCGATGGTTCGAGTTCAGTTCCCCAACTTCTTCCTTCTTTTCTTTTGCCATTGCAGCAGTCATGCCAGCAACGCACAGTCCCCCTGATCGCGAGTGGTGGAAGGAGGCTGTCGTTTACCAGATATACCCAGCCAGCTTTCTGGACTCAGATGGAGATGGTCTAGGTGATCTTCCTGGCATTATCTCGAAGCTGGACTACATCAAGTCGGTCGGGGCCGACACCATCTGGCTTTCACCCATCTTCAAGAGTCCTCAGAATGACATGGGTTACGACATTTCAGATTACAGAGAAATTCATCAACCATACGGCTCGATCAAAGATGCGGAGACGTTGATCCAGGGCTGCCACGAGAGGGGTATTAAAGTTCTCCTCGATCTAGTTGTCAACCACACTAGCGACGAGCACGAATGGTTCCGCGAATCTAGGTCATCTCGAACATCCCCCAAGAGAGATTACTACTTCTGGAGAGATCCAAAGTTCGATTCGGATGGAAATCGCAAACCACCCAACAACTGGGCCTCCCTGTTCGGCGGCAGTGCCTGGACATGGGACAAGCACACGGGGCAATACTACCTTTCGCTCTTCCTGCCCTCCCAGCCGGACCTCAACTGGGCTAACGAGGACATGCGCCGCGCCACGTACGCAGACATGGAGTTCTGGCTGAAGAAGGGCGCCGATGGTTTCCGAATCGACTCCATGAACCTCATGTCGAAACACCCAGACCTCCCCGACGCCCCCATCGCGTTCCCGGACAGGGAGTTCCAGCCCGGGGCGCTGTACTACGCCAGCGGCCCGCGCATGCACGAGTACATCCGCGAGATGCGTCACAAGGTGTTCGACAAGTATAACTGCATGACGGTCGGGGAGCTTGGCTTTACCAAGGACGAAGCCAGCGTGGCCTCGTACGTAGCTAGAGACAGGCACGAGCTGAACATGCTGTTTACAGGCGACATCGTCGACATGGACTTTGGGCCGAACCACAAGTACGAGCGCGACGACTTCCGCCTTTCGAAGCTCAAAAACATTGTTGGTATGTGGCAGAAGGCGATGATTAGGTGCGATGGGTGGAACGCGATTTACATGGACAACCACGACTCTGGCCGCTCGCTTTCGCGGTACGCGTCCGACTTGCCCCAACACAGAAAGACTGCGGCGAAGATGCTGGCGACGCACCTCGGCACTTTGTGCGGCACGCTGTTCCTTCTCCAGGGCCAGGAGATCGGCATGGCGAACGCGCCCGAGTCGTGGACCGTCGACGACTACATCGATGTCGAGGGGAAGAACTACTACGACAGTGTGCGACAGAAGCGCGCCCCGGACGCGGATATGAGCGACGTAATGAGGGAGATGAGGCTAAAGGCGAGAGACCACGGAAGACTGCCCATGCAGTGGACGGCAGAGAAGCATGGCGGGTTTACCAAGGGCTCCAAGCCGTGGATGCGCGTCAACGACGACTTCGACGAGTGGAATGTTGAGCAGCAAGAATATGACGAGGGCAGTGTATTGGCATACTGGAGACAGGTGCTGGACATGCGGCGTAAGGAGAAGGATGTGTTTGTTTACGGTCGGTTCGACACGGTTGACGAGTTTGACGACAGCGAGGATGTATACGTATATACCATGACGAGCTATAATGGGAGGACAGCGTTGGTCTTGCTCAACTTTTCCAATCGAGAGCAGGTGTTGAAGTTGGGACCTGGTTTTGATGGATGGAAAAGGTTGCTTGGGAGCACCTCGAAGAGCATCAACAGAGATGGTGTCAGTCTAAGACCATACGAGGGTACAGTTTATGCCAACTGGTAGGCAAAGGACTCGTTTGATCACTGCCGATGTTTTATCAACGCTCTAGAGAAGAATCACAAAGGAAGAGTGCCCAAGATATCAATGGCAGGGAACATGGCAGTGTTGACTCCATGTTTATTCCAGTTCATATGTCAGCTTGTAATTCTTTAACAGCATGTATTTAAGACATGCCTGTGTTGCTATGTTTTGTCATAATTACCGTGCCGGCAAAGGAAGCACACGTGAACCCTGGCAGGCGTCGATGACTTTCCAAAATGCGACAATCCGGGTTTCGCTTGGCGATCTAAGTCCATCAGCTCATCCAGTCGTAATTTTCATTATTCAAGGCAAATCTTCTGCGTGATATGAAGCAATCCCTCGGGTCCTCGGCCAAATATGCTGCCCTCTACGGCACGTCTCTGGAAAGCGGAAGCCTGTTTTTCGTATCTTCGTCTCACACTGCCAGCCAAATGAGGTATGATCAGTTCCCTTCCAAATTGCACCTGCCACTCGTCTTCCATCGGGGAATTGCCAGTCCCGTAGTCGATCCAAGCTCGGCATATCAGTCTGCCTGACTCCACCAGGATGCTGTGGTCCGTCAGGCAGATATGACACTGACCTTGGAACTCCTGTCCCGGTTCTTCAAAAGCTCTGTCGATCGTTTCCATCAAATCGGTGCCTTGGGAATCCGGCGAGCGGGTTTCAACCCGGTGACACAAACGGCCGTTGACGTATGTTACGTGCCTCCTCAAATCGACGTTGTCCACAAGCTGCTCGAAATATTTGTTATCGGCACTCAAACCGAAGAGAGGTGGTTTCTTTGCATAGTGGCTAGCCTCACTAGGATTCGTTCTCACTTGAGTACAGTATGGAATCTGACAAGCATCTGTTTCCAGGTGAGCACAGAATGGATAATGGCACTGGAGAATATCTGTCAGTGCCGGTGCTTCCTGACGACTGTCCCACACGAAGTTGAACTCGACGAAGAGGAGAAACCTGCCATCCACAACCTTCGGCACCGCCTTCAGAAGCGGTTCAAGTTCAAGGCGAGGCGACCGGATCTGGGGCAACGACCAGGGCTTCAGCAGGGCTTCCGGCCGGAGCTCACTGGCGAGCAGGTGCTGGAGTCGAACAGCCTTCGTCGCCAGCTGAATGTGAGCATGGGTCATATGTCCTTTTCTCTGCTTATTTAGGCAGCGCAGCTCGGGATGGAAATTTTCTTCAATGTCTCTGAAGTCCCGGGCAGTATGGCGGCTCAAACAAATCGTGCACAACCAGCGGTTCGGCTGGGTAGAGGTGAGATCTGCCAAGAACTCCACCTGCATCTCTTGCGAAAACTTGGCATATGTTGCGTTCCAGTCTTTATGTGTGAGATACCGAAGGTCTCTGCAAGTTTGAGACAAAGCGAAGCGACCATGCGGACGGATGTCTCCAAGTATCTGAAGGAGAATCTCCATTGGTAGATTTGCAAAGAGAGAATTTTGAAGACCATTAGATTTGGCAGAATCTCGAGCCTTGGCCATGTCGTCCCGGTGTTTGATGGGTGCGTCAATGGTTGAAATGATCGAAGTTCCTGTTGATCCACCGTTCACCCCTGTAGGTCGAACGACTGGGTCGAGCGTGCTAAAGACGATGCTGATCAATGAGCTAATCGGAGTACACTCGTAGACCTTTGAAAGTAAGATATTACCGAGATCCGTCCGGGATGCAGCAAGGGTGATGTTCAGGCGGTGGTTGTCAAAATATGCTGCTTCTTGTGATGGAATTGTAATATAGATTGTAAGCATGAACTGGAATGAGAGTTGATGGGGGTGATAGATTTTGATATTAAGAAAAATAATCCTCTTTCTCCGGATCACCTTTGTGTGACGGTTTCTCAAGGTACAGGTCCAAACTCAATGTTGTGGGTATATCATAACGCAAACGCTACTTATCATGACCGTCCGGGTTTTCGACTCAAAGTGCCTTGTCGAGGGTACCCTTCTTCACAAAGTCCTTGCCCGCAAATTCCCTCTCGCCTCCCGTGGCGATGTTCTTGTTCTTGGCCTGCCCAGCCGTGTCGCCAGCCGCAGTGTCAACCGCTGAGTTGAACTTGCCCCTCAGCACCTCGCCAACGCCCTATCTGCAGTTAGCAGCACAAGTCTCGACAATTTGCCACAAATTACTGACATGTCCTTGGGCGAGTGCGCCCTTGATCTGTCCCCCGATGCCTCCAGAACGCGTCGTCGGCGCATCCCCGCCGCCGACCGGTGCGTGAGTGCCAGCGTGCGTCGCGGTGTTGCCGGCAACGTGGGCATTGTTCCCTACAGTGCTTCCGACGCCGGCTCCAGTGGTAGAAGTTGTGTTGGCGCGAGCTACATCATTTGTCGGGGGAACTGTAGGGCTCTGGTAGGCGTTCTCGGCGTCGAGAGTTGCGGTGTTGGTGTTGGCGGCCATATTGGTGATGTTTCGGGTATATTTTGATTCTGAAAAGGAGTCCAGAAAGACGTGTTTGTGTTTCAAATGTATGTCCAGAAATTACTATGTAAGAAATTTAAATATTTGAAGAGGTGCGCAAGCTGATGCGATGTCATCGCTGCCAAACCTGGTCCGGTGATGCGCCAAGGGGTGACGTCACGATAGCGCAAACCCGCCTCGTGGAGGACGATCTGTGGACCATCTGCCGCGTCCCGGATTGCCGAGTTGATGTCAGACGATCAGCCTCAAATTTGAGCCTTATTTCCGTTGCGTGAGTTCTATTCAACTTTTGTGCCTGCAGGTTTCTTTCCACCTTACTTCATGGTCGTTTCCCAAAATTTGCTTGCTATGACTCTAACAGACTGTCACAGTGCATTCTCGACTAGCACATCCTAACTCACCAAAATAATTCTACTATTTCTCAAAGTCTTAGACACGATGTTCAATGGAAAGAATACCCTATCGTTATCAGGGCTCAAAACCGTGCTTCTGACTTCATGATAGTCCTTCCGTGGTAGCCGGAGGCAATCGCATCAACGACCTGATGCAAGCTAGCTTGTGACTGATACTCAAGTGTTCACAATTCTGACAGTTTGGCTTGTATCTGTATGAAAATGCTGACTCTGTGAATGCTACAAATGAGACAGCGTCGACTGACAATTACTTTGCTTCGAAAACAAAAGAAACAATACCGTCCAGGCTGACCAGCGAACGTCTATGTGTTACTACCGCCCTTCATTGAAGACCAATGACTGATCTCCCTCCTTCAGATGCAACTATTCACACAAGACCACCTTGACCACTCTCACCAGAACCCCAAAACAACAACACCAACAACCAACGCATAAACCCACTTCTCAACCGTCAAATTCGCCCCAGCACCATAATAGCACCCATTACTATTACACCGCCCACCGCTCCCACTGCCCCATCCGCTGCCGCCGCCAAACCCCCACGCCGCACTGCACTCCCCCGCGAACTCGACCAGATCCGTCCTCCCCAGCGGCGAGCACGTCGTCATCGTCGTCGTGTCCCTGGTGTCAAGCGTGCCCTCGTCGGCGCTGCACGACACTGCGGCGGTCCACTTGCCCGCCGTGCAGCGCTGGAACTTGTCCGCGAGGCAGTTCCACTGGCCTTCGTAGCCGACGCAGGTGGCATCGGCGGACTGGTAGAGCGCGGAGATGTCGAGGGTTGTGTTGAGGGGGGATGGGTCTGGGGCGGCCGCGGCGAGGCGGAGGAGGAGAGTGAAGAAGAGGAGGAGGGTTAGGAGGGCGCTTTTGCGGCCGCAGTGCGGTTGGGGGGACATTTTTGGAAGAGTAAGGTGTGGTGTACACTCCTTTGCGTTTTGGTGGGTGTGATTGTTGAGATGAACCACGAAGTTGAGTCTCCAGGACTCGGTGAGTGGAAAGAGGAAGGATGGATGGTTCGTCTCATGCCGCGGACCAGCCCTACGAAACCTTCACAAGTCCTATATATTTTCCCGACGAGGTGCTGGGCTTGGCGGACCAGCTTCCGAACCAACGGGACCGGGTAAGACTATGATGGCATGATAGCTGAGACATGACATGAGTCTGCCAAATGCATGCGCCGTCCTCACTTAGACATGTGCTCCTGGAAAATTTGCAGCTCATCAGTGTTTTCTCGCGCCTGCCTCGATAAGGCTCTCTTCGGATGAAGTTGTTCGGACAGGATATCCCAGTCGTTGCGCTGTCAGCTGTTACATATTGTCATGAACGTGTGGCCTTGTCATTGGGTCGTGAGGCGTAGCTCGCTCACCGAGGGGAGGGCGGATTCTGCAGCCGCGTGTGGCTAAGGTGGCAGGCGCAGGAAGGCATGCATAAGAGGAAATAGGCCGTAGTCGATTGCTAATAGCCTAGGTGCCTGTACGACTACGAAGTGTTAGCGGGCGGACTAGCTTACAGAGACTGTTGTGAGAAAGCTATCCATTGAATTTGTGGCACGGATGGTCGGCACCATGGACTGAAGATTGCAGAGCTCCATGATCCTGCAGGAACCCGACTAAGAGCACGATTGTGGATGGGAATTGAGTAAAACTTGGCAAGTAAGATGTTTTCTTTTGGTCATTCCAGGATGAACACATGTCAAGTCCACCACGAACCGGTTCGTGAGTTGCGTGAGTTGGTTGAGTCGCCCAAGTCTCTAGCTGCGTTAGCCTCAACGCTACCAGCCCCCTTCCGACCTATCACAACTCCAATACCGCGAGTTGCAACAAGTAGACTAGACAGCAAACAACTTATGCATATTCAAGGCTTGTAAAACACAAAGGACCTAAAGACTTGGCCGGATATATACGGAAGCAAATCCCTCGCGATGCACCGTCATCCCCCATTTTTCAGGCAAACACCGCGATATCCCAACTTGCTACCAACCATGACATCAAGCTCGTGATTCCCAGCACCGCAACGCGTTCCATGTGCCAAAGCCAGCGATATCGGGGACGTCCTTACTGGCTGAGTTGTCAGTCTGGTCCCCTTCACATGCCTACCAAGACTCACCATCACACAGCGCCCCCAAACTCCCTCCTCGCCGTCCTGTCCACGCCATGTACCTGTTGGCGGGTCCACCCCGGCAGGGTTTTCGGCGTCTGCGGAGCGCGGCGCCGCTGCAGCCAGCGGGAGAGGAAGTAGCACCCGAGCCCGAAGAGGACGAAGGCGGCGCAGATGGCGAGGGAGCCGGCGACGACGCCGGGCGGCGGGTCGGGCTTGGTGCTGGTGTTCGTGTTGGTGGTGGGAAGTGTGAGGTTGTCGTCGCGGCTGTGGGAGCTGTGTGGAAGGTTGTTGGTGTTGTCGTTGGGTTCCATGTCTGAAGGTGTTATGGTTTAGATAGGTTGGGCCAGTGTACGAAGGGTTATGGCAAGCGGGAGAGGGGTGAGGAGGACCGGATTGCGGCAGACGGCACTGGTGGGCGGTGTTCAGGAAGGAGGCCCATGACGGGAGCCAAGGCTTTATGGGCTTCCGTCGCTCGTGAGGTGCACGTTTTGGCCATGTGTTGGATGGCAGCCATTGTCGCGGGTTCGGGATGAGGTTTCTTTGACGGGGATGAGTTGCCGTCTGGGTGAATCTCGCTTACATGTCGCGGGAGCGGCAGAGTGGTCTTTCATAGCGGGATGTTTTCAATGTCTCAATTCCGTGGACTCGGAGGCGATAGCTCACTGACAGGCCTGAGCGAACAAGTTGACGGTCTGGAGAGGCGATTACATGCGGCGCACACTGGCATCAGGAAAGCGAGGTGTAAGTAATGATTTGTGGTGTTTTATTTACATTCTATGTGATTAAACATTAGGAAACCCAATGATGACAGCGCGTTCCCAGCTCTTGGTCGGTGCTGATAAATTCCCCTTTCATCACAGCACACACACACACAGAAGGCAGCTTCGCCCTGGATATAACCATCATTTCTCAGGTCTCGTTAGTAGGTACGTGTGTCCCATAAAGACGTGTAATCTTTTCTCCATTTCGCGTCAAAATCAGTTACGCCGTGGCGCATGCGTGCAGAAACATGGGGATCGTCTGATAATCAGTCGTCGTCTATAAAACAAAAAGGAAAAAGAGAAGGGGCTTCATGATTGAAGCGCGGGAGTCGGTGTGGGCTCTCCGTCGGGGTACTTGCTGGTTGACCAGTACCCGTCGTCGTAGCTGTGAGTCCAGTACCCGTCGTTGTAGGTGGTGGTGGATGTTGGGACGGGAGAAGGGGAGGTGGTTACGCTGACGATGCTGGTGAGCAAGGTTGACGGGAGGAGAGGCGTGGTCGTCTCTTGGGCCCAGGTAGTCGGAGCGGCACTGTCATCGGGCTGGGTAGTCGGCACGATGATTGTGCTGGAGGAGGGGCTGGGTGACCACGCAGGCTCTGATGAGGTGGTCGATGTCGAGACTGATGATGTTGAGTTGATGGACGGTGTTGGAGCAGGGGGTGGGATTTCCCCCGCTGATGTCGCAGGAGCTGAGGTCGGGATGATCGGGGTCTCTGTCCATGGAGGAGGGACAACAACGACCGGCGTGGAAGATACGACTGGCGATGAAGAAACCTCGAGAGCGCTGCTGCTGGGGATGCTGGGTTGAGCGAAGGACGTTGTGGGTGAAGAAGACGCAGGGGCCTCAGATGTGTAAGTCGACGGTTCAGCGGGAGGCGTAGAAGAGTCGACGGATGTAATCGGTGCCGGGCTAGAGCTTGGTTCCACAGTGCTCGACAGTTCATAAGTTGTTGAGAAGGACGAGGGTGATGGCTCAGGGGTGCTTGAGGCCGGCGCGGATGGCTGGGGCGTACTTGTCGCCAAGTAAGAGGACTGAGAGACCTCCGATGATGGCGAGGGGGAGGGCTGAGAAGTGCTCGGCAAGACAGACGACGGCTGGGGGGTCTCTGATGAAAACGAGGGCTCGACAGACGGCGAGGGAGCAGGTTCAGGAGTGCTGGATGAAGCTGACGATGGCTGAGGAGCTTCTGATGAAGGCAACGGCTGGGGGACGTCTGATGATGAGGCTGGTGGCTCGGGGGCAGCGGTGCTTGACGGAGGAGCAGCTGGTGGTGGTGTTGTTGGGGGTACTGATGTTGGCTCTGGGGCAGGCTTCTGGGTCGGGGTGATGGTCACAGTCGTCGGGGCGTCTGTTCCATCAACGTTGACCACGATGATGGACGTGGTCGTTGTCGTCTGGACTGCAGACGAGATCTGAGTGACGGGGTCGCTAACACGCTCGGTGACGGTCACCTGGGCCGGTTCCCTGGTGACGGTGATCACATCAGGAGAGCCGGTGCTGGGACTTCCCTCGACGTTGACGACGGAATATGACTTTGCTGGCTTATCTCGGGGATGAAGCAGGAAGTCAAGGACGGGGAAAGCGTTTGCTGTCGTGGATAGGGACAGGAGCAGGGTGAGGGAGGCAGGAGGATGCATCTTGATGTGAGATCAAGAGGCAGCAAACAGCCACTGCTGCTGCTGTTTGGTGTCTGGAGTGCTGCTGCTCTGCTGGTTGAAGCTCTCAATGGGCAGATGCAGACAGACGGGAGGACGGGAACAAACAGACGGGCAGGACGCACGGTGGATGGAGAAGCGGCTGCCGATCGATCACGGAAGAGGATCTGGCGTCAATGTATGACAGAAAACTGGAGAAGCAGAAGGGAAGGGGAGAAGAAGCAAACATGGGAGCGGGAGCCATTGTGGTTTTACTGCGGTGCACTAGCAAACGCAGATGGCTGGAGACACTTGTCGGATGGTTGCTCACAGGGCCAGGGGCAAGAAAAAGGGACCACAAGCCAGGCGGGAAAAAAAAGCTGGCGATGGAAATGTTGGTGGTTGGGAAGCAACTTTGGTGGTGGTGGTGGTTTCTTGTTCCAAGGCGGTTTGGAGCGAGTCCAGGGTCACCAGGGGTAATTCCGCCAGTGCTGCTGGTTGGCCAGGGGTCTCTGTCCACTGTAGGCGGGGGGTGGCCCGTGAAGCCACGCGCTGGCTGGGACGGAAGGTGGGAAGAGAGGCGCCACAGAGCCAGGCACAGGCTTGAGAAGATGGGGGCTATGGGGGGGCACACAGGGGGCGAGCACGCAAGACAGCGCTGGCTGGATCGGTTAGTCTGCCGAGGCGGGTGCGGGCTGGCCAATGAGAGGCGGCGGGAGACGGTTTCCCAGCCACCGCGTTCTCGAGGGACGCTGCTGCTCGGCTGAACAGGAGCGTCTAGGCCTTGGAAGAAGGCGGAATAACGTCCCACAAGTCAGGGGATGGCGTACGCAAGAGTGAAACATGAACCTAGTGACGGCAGATGTGTAGTTGCAGTGGACTGGGTGCATATTGTGAGTATTGAATCTTCAGAATGAAAATGGTGGATTCTACGTGTTCCTGTATGATGACATAAACATCTTGATAGGGTGGAGTGGGTGACATAAGCAGTCTTTTGATTAAGTAAGGTGGCCGGGCTTAACTCGGGAATGAAGGTTCGACCTCATCCAGGAACCGGCGATGACCGGTGGCTGTGCCCACAGCACCGCCGCAGCCAGCTGTGGCTTGCCCCTGCCCAGCGTTGCTTTCCAAACGAACATGTCGCCTGTCTGCTCTCTCATTCTCCTCGCTGCAATGTTCTCTGGCCCACTCTCTGAACATCTGCAAGAAATCCTCCGTGCATTGACTGGCCCAAGCTTGCATCGACGCATCGTTGAACGGTTCGTTGATCGTGCTTGACTTGCAACGTCGGTGCAGCACCTCGCAAGGCAGATTCAGCAATGGATGTTTTTGTCTTCTCTAGTCCTCTCTAGTCCGTTCGCACCTGAAGATCGCCAAATAGCACAGCGCATCGCATCACTGCCATGATGATTCAACAACCATGCCTCACAGAGTCACAAACACGCGTATTCCACCACCAAAAACCAACCCAAGAGAAACGACAACGTTCTGGCTGTGCAACGCCTCTCCGCCAGATTACGCACGTCTGTGGCGCTTCAGCAGCTCGGCAGGGTTCGACAAGGGCGGGGTGGCTCGTGCGAGGAAACAATTGGTGATGTTTGTGGAGCGGGAGCTGCAGCCCAAGGCCGCGCCGAGAGCTCGGTTTGGTTTTCTCAATGACGTTGGGCCCTTTCACTGCTTTTTTGCTAGGCGCGTGCCTACTAAGCCACCCTCCACCACCACTGGGCGCTACCAAGCTACCTCGTCATCCATGTCTCTCTCTAAAATGGCCCAATAATGCTGCCTGATGAAGCTTACTCGACGGACCCTCAGCTCATCGTCTAATCCCCGTAAGGCGCTGCTTCCATTCGAGCCGTTTCCTTCCCCGTCGCGTTTTGATTCGGGGCCGGACCAACAGGAGAGAGCGGACCCCGTCTCGTGGAAGGAGTGGAAGCGGGAAGGAAGCCTTTCCAAGTCCCAACATCCCAACACGCAATTACCATTACCATTGCCTTCCCTCCGCCGTACACCTTATTAGGTAGCTTACCTTATTCACAGCCACGCCGGGTCCGTCGCCTTCGCCTTCGCCTCGCATCCTGCAGACGGACGGCCCAAGACCTTAAATAAAGCCGCCCAGCATCCCAAGAGCTTGCCAAAGCCGTGTTTCCGATTCCTTTACACATCTCACGTATCCCTCCGCCTACGAGCACTCGCAGCTTTTCTGTGCCCCGCAGTCATCACCACTACCCCGCCCTACGTGACGCAACTTTCCCGCATTCCAGCAGCATTCCACCTGCCGATTCTCCTGACATCGCCAATTCGGCTCTCGTGAACTCTACACGTCGCATCGAAATATCCATGTCCTATCCAGGCCAGCACGGCTATGGCGCCCGTAAGTTCTATTCTCCCGCCAATGTCCTCAGCGATCACCTAACCACCAGACCAGAGCCGCACGGCGGGGGCTACGGCCAGTACCCTCCCCAGGGAGGTTACGGCGGCTACCCTCCTCAGGGCGGCCAATATCCTCCCCCTCAACAGGGCGGCTACTACCAACAACCACCTCCCGGCCAATATCCTCCTCAAGGCGGCCACTACCCTCCTCAGGGCCCTCCGCCGGGCCAGTATCCTCCACAGGGCGGATACCCGCCCCAAGGCGGCGGCTACGGCGCACCGCCCCCGATCCCCCCGTCACCCTACGGCGGCCACTCGCCTGCTCCCGGCGGCTACGGCGCACCCCCCGGCCCGCCCCCAAATCAGTCCTACGGCGCTCCGCCGCCTCAGAACTACGGGCCCCCGACGCCCGCCTCCATCGGCTACGGCCCGCCGCAGATCATCAACTGGGACGCCACGCCCGACGCGACGGCCGCCCGCAACGCCATGAAGGGCTTCGGCACCGACGAGAAGACGCTCATCCGCTGTCTCGCCACCAAGGACCCCCTGCAGATCCTGGCCATTAGGGACGCCTTCCAGCGGAACTTCAGGCGCGACCTCGAGACGGACATCAAGAAGGAGACGAGCAGCTGGTTTCAGAAGGGCATGGTGTCCGTCGCCCGCGGCCCGCTGCGCTCCGACATCTACAACCTGTTCGACGCCATGGACGGGCTCGGCACCAAGGAGAGCGTGCTCAACGACGTGCTGCTCGGCCGCTCAAACGCCGACATGCAGGCCATCAAGAGCGCGTACCAGCAGACCTTCAAGCGCCGCCTCGAGGACGACGTCAAGGGTGACCTAAGCATGAAGACGGAGAGGCATTTCCTCATCGTGCTCGGTGCCAACCGCGCGGAGGACTCGGCGCCGGTGATTCCCCAGCAGGTCGACCAGGACGTCATGGACCTGTACCGCGCCACCGAGGGCAAGATCGGCACGGACGAGATGTTGGTGTGCAGCATCCTCAGCACGCGCAACGACAACCAGATCCGCGCCATCAACCAGGCGTATGAGCAAAAGTTCAGGAGGAAACTGGAGGACGTCATCAAGAAGGTAAGCCCACTTAACCCCCACCCCAGTTCGTGTTTTTTTTATCAGCGGAAACCTAATGCTGACCAGGACGAACAGGAGTTCTCGGGCCACATGGAGGACGCGCTTCTCTTCCAGCTCCGCCACGCCGTCGACAAGTACATGCACGCGGCCAAGCTCCTCGAGGACTCGATGGCCGGCCTCGGCACCAAGGACCACCTGCTCGTCGCGCGCGTCGTCCGCTTCCACTGGGACAAGAACTTCCTGGCCAACGTCAAGGGGGCGTACCAGGCCAAGTACAACCGCAGCCTGGCGAGCAGGATCAAGGGCGAGACGAGCGGCGACTACCAGCGCCTCATGCTGGCGTGTATTGGCGAGCAGATCTAAGTGCGTGCGTGGCGTTGTGACGAGATACGGCTGATACCCCCGGGAACTGGATGGATGAAATGACCTGGCATGAGACTGGGATGGGATAGGATTATTAGGGAGCGGCTGTGCAGACGGTCGTTTGATGAATGGGCTTGGTTTATGACTTTACGGGACGTCTGGGTATGGCCAGTATGTTTACAATAGCTATTTGCGTAATGACGATGCTGGACTTGGTCCAGAACAATTCTTCGCATTCACTGTGAGCCATGAACTTCTGTTTCTCCGGTGCAGCGACAAGATCCCAAAGACAGGAGGGTCAATGTGAAAGCAGTGCTAAGCAGCCAGGTCACTGACGCGCAACCGGAGAAGGCTAATTTTGCCTGGATGGCATGTACGACACGTCGAATAGCACACCAAATTATGGTCTTTATTAAGCCTTGCAAAAATAGATCTAAAAATACAGACTTTCAAGGCGTGTCCATTTCCGGAGACATTGACGTGGGAAACCATTTTGATTGGGTGCATTGCTCGCTTCTTCCACAGGTCTCCCTGCACTTCTCCAATAGAGCCATCTGTGGATTACATAAATGATAAAGGTTTATATATGCAGGTCCGTGCAGCCTTAGGCCCGCGCCTGCCGACTTGCTTATAGCGCCTGCCCTTTCCTGGACGCTCTATAACGCCCCGCTTTTCTATAACATTTGACGCTAATAAGTTTTTTCTAATTAGCAAGAGCCCCCCTCTTGTAGCGTTCCTAACTTGGCCTTCTTCACTACTTCGACTGGACCCCCTTCCTTGCCCGCGCCACCCACTCAACGCGACGTGCTTCTCACGACGATCTTCTTCTTCGCAGTGACAGACGTCGATTGATACCGCGTTGAACGACAATTGCGACGCGTCAACTCGTGATAATTCTTTTGCTGCGTCTGCACAACCAGGTGCAATCGGACCTCGACCTGTGACTATCCCGCAGCGAGTACTTTGGTTCGGACATCAAACGCACCTCGATCTCGTGTCAGTCACGTGGTACCACCACCAGGACCTACATCATCAGCTTCACCTCCAACTCGGAAGACAACCAGCCTTGGCCAGTCCACCGCCAATGGCCTCGACCATGGCGCAGAGCCCGCAGCTCACCGCCGGGGGGCAGCTGCCTCAATACGCCCCGCAACAGAACGGCTCCCGTCCTGGGAGCGCAGCATCACACACCCAGAACCGTGCCGGCGCATCCTCAAATTCACCACCCATCTTCCCTTATGCGCCGCAGCAGCAGCCTTCTGCTCCAACACCATCGCCGCCTGCGCCGAAGCAAACGTCGGTGCCTGTCCCGGTGCCAGGACAGCCGGCGGTGAATGGGACTCCGGCGGCTGCCGGAGAGCCGCCCAAGATCTCGTCTGATGTGCCCAAACCTGCGCAGGAGTCGGCCTCTCCTGCCTTGAGCAACGGCCAGACGCCATCCTCGGAGGAGATTGCAAAGTCGCAGAAGTTCTCGGAGGACTACACGAAGCTGTGCACCCTCATTGCCGAGTGTGACGAAGATGCAGTCCGTCGAGCGGTTAGAGATAACTTTGAAAAGTGTCTTCTGGGCTCCCACTATCACATGGCATTCATCGTACGTATCCTATCGAGAATTCCATCTCTTCTAGGTTTTGGCAATATGCTGACAATACCCAGATGAACGTCGCCATGCACCGTGCAGACGGTGGCATCCTGAAAAGAGCAATCAGAGACTTTGGCCAACGCATAGTCTCAGAAGGAAAGGCCGACCTGGTCGGCTGGTTGAAGCCGGCAGACCTGGACGAGCTGGCGGACAACATCCTCAGCAAGGCCAGCGACCAGTTCCTCGACAAGGCCCTCGTCACGCGGCTGCCCAAGATCGAAGCCCGGCGCCTGGTTAATGCCCTCGCCCGGGCGAATCGCCTCGGGTACGACGCCAACGACATTGTCGAGAACGAGCACGTCATCCCTACCGCTCCCGCCCAGAGCTCGATGCAAAGGCCACCCGCACCGGGCCCGCCTCCGCCTCCACCGCCGGCGGCGGCAGCGGCTCGGCCGGTCGGTTTCCATCAGCCCATGACGCCGGCGTCCATTCAAGCGGAGGCACCACCCCCACACAGGCTGAATCCCATGAATGTGGTTGTACCCAAGGCGCCCCAGAATATGGACAGGCCGGAGTGTACCTTCTGCCATCGCATCTTTGGCAACGTTGAATCATGGACTCATGTACGTTCCCTGCTCAGTTGATATCCCAGAGCATCGCTAACTGTCTACAGCATGTCAAGAAGAGGCTGTGTCTGAGACCACTTGTTGCCCTCGGCAACAGCGACCATCTTCTCCTCTGCCCTCATTGCGGCCAGTCGTTCAACGGACACGCTGGATTGCAGTATCATATGATGAACAAGGTCTGCGGCGACTTTGGCCCGGTGTCCAAGGAGATGGTCCAGAATGTCAAGACCATCCCTGGAGCTGCTGCCTCGTCCTACTCCGCTCCCGGGGCTCCAGGGATGGTCTCGAAGAAGCGCCCACGTGTTGAATACTACACCGCCTCCCAAAGTCAAAGTCCAGCACCTAGTCAAGTTCCCCAGGTGCAGGTGCAGACTCCCCAGCACCAGTCCATGTCCCAAGTCCCGACATCGACGCCCCAGTCATCGTTCCCCAACAACCACCAACCGGCTCCTCTCGGGACCCCCCGTGCGAAAGATATGGCCCATCTCACGGGGCCCCAGATCGAAGCTCTTCTCTCGGAGCTGAGGCGAGCTGAAGAGGACTTCAAGTTCAAGATCGCCGATGCGAAGAAGCTCGGCCTGACGGAGGAGGACACCACCAAGAAGCTCACAAGCTTGCGCAACTCCTTCGCTTGCAAGCAGAGCACCATCCGCAAGAAGTACGGCATCAAGCTTCGGGAGCGTCGCGGCCGCGCTGAGATGGAAGCCGAGCGGGACATGATGGGGTACGGCTCAACTCCCCGCATGGGAACCCCGGCATCCTCCGACAAACACGCGGACAAGCGCGCGCGCGTCAACGGCGCTGGAGACGCGAGCGTCACACAGTCGCAGGAGCCGCCCTCGCAGAGCACGCCGATCAAGCAGGTTGCCGTGGCCGATATAGGCGGCGGGCTGACGGGCTCGAACGCGACGGCGGCGACGGAGGACCCGACGATGGCGTCGCAGCCGACGTCGTCGTTCCAGCAGGGGTGTTATCGCGTGCAGACGTACGAGCCCGCCAAGAAGACATCGCCGACGAAGGTACCAGGCGGGTCTATGACGGCGCAGGAGCTCCTGCGGCAGATGAACGGTCCTATTGAGATCGATAGCAGCAGCAGTAGCTCTGAGAGTGAGTCATCAGATTCGGACTCGGACTCTGGCACGAAAGAGGATGGGGACGGGCCGGGACTCAAGGCTGAGCAGCGATGATTTGATTCCAAGCTTGGCGTGCGATGATGCCAGGGGGCGGGTTATTCACATGATGGAGCAGGGGCGTTTTTTTCAACCGAGCTGTTGGAGTCGGGATGCATCTGTTTTCTTGCCGGGTTGGCGGCGGCGTTTATGCATTCGACAAAGCATTGAGCATTGGAAGGGCCAGTTATCAGGGGTTTCTTTTTGATTTTTCATCATCATCCATCATCCATCTCGCAGGTTTGCAGGTTTGTAGTTTTTACCCGGACGTCCCCAAGTGAAGGAGGTCCCTGCGAGTTGCGCGGCGGTGGTCTGGACCCTTAGCATAGCGATATACTTTTTACAGAGCAGGACAAAAACAAGATTAGAAGAGGCCTTTGTCTGCGTTGTTTGCGCATGCGAGGTGATGTGTGATCGTCGGTGATGCAGGGTCGGCATGTTTATGGGGGTGGGTTGGAGTTGCATGAGCTCTGATCGCCCCTCCTTCGCCGGACGTCGGAGGTAGCCTTGCGTTTGACATGCCGAAATGACGGGAGTTGGCATGTGGTTATCTGTTTTTTTCCTCCGATGATTCAGAGCCGATTGGAAGCTGTTTTGAGGGAATGCAATTTATCTTTCTGGAATCATCGTCGGCGAGCGTTGGGAAATTGGAATCCTTGAGCCTAAATCTGAGCCTAAGATCGGAGAATTCTTTATGATTTGATCTGATGGACGGAGCAATGACAGATACAGCAGAGAGAGTACGGGAGGCATGGATGAGGAATAACACAAAAGCACGGGTAGAGAGAGAGAGAGTCCAGCAGGAGTAAAATGGTTTGGATGTGAAAATGTCAAGTTAGCGTGCGTTCCGCACGATCGGACGGTGCTGAGCAGGGGTGGTTTCAGTGTCAGTTCAACCGCGCGGAGGGTGGTGGTGGCGCCCGTGTGCTATTTGCATTGTCTAGTCCGGCGGATGGGAGGGAGGGAGATTTGATATATGGCAGTGGCATTGGCATTGGCATTGGCTGGTGACAGAGGTGCATTAACTTGAGTGGACGGACGTTGAGGTTGAGGTGGATTGTGACTGCGGTGATGGTTGTATCTCGGAGGGGTATTGATATAGCAGTGAGTTCCAGGCTTTAGAACGTATGGAACGGAGGGGTTTTGGCTGGTAGAATGTAGGACAATCAAGAAGGATGCCGTGGATCAGGGAGCTTGGGTAGATTTTGTGCAGAGGGCGAGGTGAGGTGATGTGATGCTTATGTGAACCCCGCGCCAGAGGGGACATCCCGGCTTTTGAGATGAGGGTGGTGAGATGGGGAGGGTGTCCCGCGTGCGTGCCGTGCGTGCGTGCTTGAACGGGGGTCTGAGTGGTTGGTGCCCCTGACGGGGAGCGAGCCGTGCATTTTGGGCACCTAATAATTCACCAACTCTGGCGGCAGCAAGGCAGAGCTTGGTCGTGTGGCTTGATCTGATGGAAAGGTAAAATATGGAGAGGAGGTCTGATCGTGAGGGAATAACTCAATGGGACTGGTTATGTGGTGGTGAATGTGACATTGAGAAAGGAGATAATAGGACCGGGAAAAGAACGAAGGAGAAGCTTTCGAGCAGAAGAGTTAGTGGCGTTTTTGGCGTTTAGTGTCTGGCGGGAGCAGTCAATGTGAAACGGAGGAACCGGTCCTTGGGTCATTTTACGGTTGGGATCGCACTGCATTCGATGCCGTGATGGCGGGATTAGAGGGGCTGAGGACGGTTCGAGGTCTGTTGAAAATTTGTGGAGAGCCGGCGGTATTCAGATGGTTGGGTGTCCTGTCTCGTGGAACGATGAAACATATTTGGGCATATTCATTTCATTCAGTAGTTTTGAGTGGTGGAACATGAGTTGTCTATCGATTGCAGGAGCTGTTTGTTTGGCCATGAATGACTTTTGAGCATTGAAGCGAGAGGGAGAAACGCCGCAGAGAACAAGATTGACTGGATGAGAGTGAGAGAGAGCCCGCGCACAGAGGGGCCTAGGTCCCGGGTGTCTAGACCCAACGTCCGCCGGAGCGGTCGTGGGCCAATGAAGCATCCGGGTGGAGTGGCGTCGCGTCCGGGCTACGGGCGGGAGATTTGCAATGGTACGGTACCTACCTACCGTCGTTCCTTGGAGCTGCGCGTGCTTTATGTGTGTGTCTTGACCCTGCAGGTTGCAGGTTTGAATGTAATGTACGCTGTCTGTCACCTGGACTTGTTTGCTACGGTTCAGTTCGCACTCTCTTAGGGCCTGGCCTGGCCTGTTGGTGCAGTGTGACTGGTGAATTGTTTGACTGCGGCATGCAGTATGCAGTCCAGTCTGCAGCGCGTAGGCAGGCAAGTTAGGTAGCTTCCCTCCTGCAGGTCCGTAGATGCCAAGAATAGGGCATCATATCCAAGGGGCGGCGGGCTGTCAATGAAGCGATGGCGTCGTCTGAAGCTGAGACCTCACTCGCTCACTCTGAAGTATCTGTCTCTCTCTCGCTCTTCCGCCCCCACGGACCCTATCATCCTGCCTTCCTGCAGTGGGCAGCCGTCTTGCCCTGTGTCTCGACTGTCAACAGGACCGCGGATGTTGCAGCAGGAACCACGGCAAGACGCGAACCCATTGGCTGCGGAGGAAATGTGGGAGGAGAGGTAAAATCCTGATGCAGCGGTACCCAGAACCCGCCACCCCTTCCCCTTCTCGTCTCCGGGGGGCGGGCGGGCGGTAGTTTCCATGTTTTTTGTTCCTGGTGATCTCGGCCGTCGATGTTTAGTGTTGCAGACGAAGGGCACATGTGGATATTGGATTGCACCCTTAGCACCGATCTAATAAGCCTGTGGTGTTGCTTTTGTTGGCGCCCCCCTCCTCTCCCCTTCGAGTCTGAGAGCCCTTGAGGATTTTTTTTGTTTCTTTTTTTCCTGTTTCTTCTTGTTCTGAAGAAGTGTTCTCTTTTTGGGGAGAAGTTTGTCTTTCTTCATTCTCTTCTTTGGTGGTGCTGCTCGTTTTCCGACATCGCGAACCTTTTGGGATCTTGTAAGTCGCAGCCAGCCTGTGCTTGTCCACCCGTCCATCCACGAAACACCCACGCGAACCTGTGACGTACTACACGGTTCAAAAAAGACACGACGTCCCGATATTGAGCTAGCCAGAATATCGGTTATATTTCTTCAAAGCATATCATCACACCGAGGGTTGGCAAGGTTATTATACCTTGTGTGATCCATACGCCGGACGGCCCCCAACCGTCGCCGAACGCGAACACGACCTCATACCTATATCCCCACGAAGACGACAGTGACGGATTAGTCGATATAGCATCAAGCTTTCCTCGACATTTCCGGAATCGACGGACAAGCGCGCGTGTCAGGCAAGGGTCTTCCCGTCGAGTCAACTATCACAACCCCCCGAACCGAGAGTCCGCGCCCAACCGGCGTCTGTCACGAGCCTTCAGTCGAGAGGGAAAAGAACACGCGACAAGTTGCGACGAAACGGGCCCCGTAAGACGAATCTCGACAGATTCATGCACGCGCGTGTGGAGTCCTTTGTCTACTCACAAGAGGGAAAGAAGAATACGGAAGGCATCGGGGGCCGCTAGAACACACGTGCGAAGGGCGATAAGCATATCCCGTCTTCCAACCAACCAACCCAACCAACCCCGCCCAGGGAGATCCCCCTCGGGAGAAGATCCGAAACATCAGACTGAACAACTTGTAACCGCGTTTCTCAAGCGAAAAGAGGCGCGCCCAAACAGCAGAGCAGACAAAGCTGGTACGGGCAGGGCCCCGCGAAGGCGTGTCAGAGGCGAAGAAGGGACGAGCGGACGGCGGGCTGTCATTTGATTTTGAAGTGTGCCGTGGCCCGAGGGTAGGTGTTTCCCGTGTGTCTGAGGGTCCTTTCTGGTTTCTTTGATCTGATGTTTGCTCTGTGAGGGATAGGGAAGGTATTTAGTTTGGCCTGCGCCGGTGCTTTCTTGCTTTGTGTGTTTCTTTCGAAGACGACTCGGGGAGGGTTGGTTGACATCGCCGTCACGACAACGATCCAACGCAAGGCAACGCAACGCAAGGAGTCGCATTCATCAAAGCTACGCCACATCCCCTTCGTTATCGGCCTCGGAAAGGCAAATCAGCGAGAAAAGAGACAGACAGAGAGTCAGTTGGCTAATTACCGGGACGGTGATATCGGGCAGGGAAATTAAGAGGTGGTTTTAGCGAGACGGAGCAGGCAAATCATCTGCCTGATCGACGGGTCGCTTGTCGAGGGTTCCGGGTGCTTGTTGCTCTTTAGGCACTAGAGAGTACCTGAGAGGTGGGCAATGTGGGACCGTTATCCGGCGAGGCCAGCAACGGTCGGGGTTGGCGGTGGTGTTGGCGCCACGGGACAGGGGTCCAGGGGCGCGCGGTCAGGTCACAGTGGAGGAGCGGCGGCGACGGGGGCGGGGCAGAGTGCTATAACGGGCCTGCAATTAGTGGAAGGAGCTGCGATGGGGCCTGGGACGAGTTCGGGTTCGACACCTTCCATGAGCAGCCGCCGCAACACGGGGACCACCAGCAGCAGCAGCCATGGATACGGACCAGGGAGTGGAAGACCCGGCTCGTCTTCTCAAAAGAAGTTGACGCCGCCGCCGCAGTTGCACGAGAGGGTTCTGCTCAAAGGACAGCACTACCGCCAGTCCCAGCTGCAACCTCAGCTTCAGCCTCAATCACTGTCTGGTGATCGTGTAGCATCATCACTGCCTTCGTCTCGAGAGGCACAAGCACACGCTGCGCCACACCACGACAGCAACCTGCAGCAGCACCTCAATAATCAACGCCACCAACCGCAACAAACGCAGCATCTCCGGGTGCATCTGCGAGGGGGACAGGAAGGACAGGGCGGCGTCGGCACCGAAAGAGGAGGCGCCGGAGGAAATAGAGGAGGACCTCGAGGAGCTCCGCCGAGGAACTTTCCCTACAACAACTCGAACCGCGACCCGGCCCTTGGTGGCTTCAACTCCTCGACGAACCAGCAAAAGTTCTGGCCCGAAGACCTGCGCAACCCCCGAGGCGGACTAGGCATCGACCACAACCTGCCGTCGCCGCCGACTCCCAAGTTCGAGGTGAAGCGTGGATTTGGACAGAGGACCGACACCCCATCTGGAGAGTGAGTGCTTTTTCTTTTCTGCGATTTGTGTTGCGTGTCGTGATGTTGTAGGAGTATGAAATCCATGGTGGTGAAAGAGTGTCCAAGAGGAGAAATCGAGACGCGACGTCAAGCAACACGCGAAATGCAAAAGAGGAAGCAGCAACGGCAACCACATCGACCGGGTCGCTCCTTCCTGCTTCCAAAGAAGAGGTCCCCACCTTCCACGTCTTCGCCCAAGCTCAAGCTCAAGCTCCAAACCCGGAAGCATTCACCAGACAGCAACAGAGTATCGGCCTCTGCAGCTTCCGACGCGCTACTTGTCCAATCTCCAACGCGAAAACGACGGCGACGACGAGAATGGCGACCGCAACCTCGTCGTCGCGTCTCCTTCTCGCCCATCGCGACTTCTCCCGCAATCTCGACACCATTTCCTCTTCTCCTCCGCAGCTTCTCCTCTCTACAAGCAGCACTGGCTAACGTTCCTCGCTCCCCCAGCAATCTCGACGAACTGCTTCCTCCCCCGAGTCTCGCTCGCATCGAAAACGACGGCAGCGACCCCTCCGGCTCCTGGCGACCTGCTTCATCCATCTACTCGCTCAATCGCGACTCCTACGCCTCCCCCGTCACGCCCAACTTCGCAAACGTGGCTGCCCGTAATACCTATTCATCCGCCGTCGCGGACATTTCTCCCCCGAGCTCTCCTGACTTGGACGCTCGTGGTGACGCGTGAGTCTAATCTTCGTCCGACACAATCCTTGACTCTAGCTTTTTTTGTTTCTTCCCCACGTGGGTTTTGGATAGTGAATCAGCACCAGCCCGGGACTAACCATGTGTCTCTACTTCAGAACCTCCGCCCAGGACCGAAGTGTCTCTCCCATAGAAGACTCGCCCAACATGTCGCAACTCGCTCTCGAAGACCAGCATACGGGCCAGCAGCCCACGCCCCCAAAGAGCAACATCCCCATGATGCGTCGCGAGCGCAGAAAGAACCAGGACGCCGCAGCCCACACCCTGCGAGAGACCAAATCCCAGCAGCGTCTGCGGATCCAGCGCGAGACCAAGTGGGATGACATGACGGGCGAACCCACGTACCTCGACACGGGCCGTGCGGGCCAGGTCAGACCACAGGAGTACGCCCAGGGACTCACCCATCCGACGCCCTTTGGCAAGTCACCTGCCGCCATGAGGGCCATGCAGAATGCTCCCCAGGCACAGCAGACCTTCACCGATCGCCTACGCAGGCTGCGGCCCGTCGGCGCCGGGAACCCAAAGGACCATCCAAAGGAGCAGCAGCAGCAGCAGCAGCCAGACGAACGTCCATCTGCCACTGCAACTGCGCCCGTGTCCATCGACGAGCGTCCGCCCTGGCGCGGCGCTCATCAAAGCGGACGAACTGCAATCGTCAACCCAGTTCGCGACACGGAGCCCAAGGAGCCTCTCAGCATACCGCGCAGGAGCAGCAGGCGCATCGCCGTTGGGCCTCGGCTGCCCATCGCCGGCGTCTCTTCACCACTCTCCCCTGTCAGCCCCTCTGGATCTGAAACGTCGCCGCGGTCGAGGACGCCCACCGTCAGAACTGTGCTCAACGCCCCCCGCCAGCTTACTGCAGGCACCAACGCGCCCTCCCCCTCGGCCACTCGAACCCCTCCGCCCGCTCAGTCCTCCTATCCCAGCCCGCCCAACTCGGCCAGTGCTGGCGTCCAGTCCCCCGTACTTGCGACGCCCGAAGCCACTAGCAGTCCGCCTGTCACGACCCGACAGCCTGCACCCCTGCCGGGCCTGCCCGCTGCCCCTAATGCACATCTCGGCCAAGACAAGGCCATTCGACGGAAGCCTCCTCCTGCCAACTCGCAAGCGCTTCACGCACCGCAACCGTCATACTCCTCGAGCGTCTACTCTGAGGCTACCACCGTCCCGCCCGTCAGCACCCACGAGCGATCGCCGCCTCGCGCACCGAGATCCCCCGGTGAAGCCCTCAAGGCCAACGAGCCTTGGGACCAGCCTCCGTCGCGGTTCAGCGTCACCACCTATGCCACTTCCGCGGCGGACCAAACCCCTCGCCAGTCGACAGATACCGCGCCTCCGCCGGTCCCCGCGCTCCCTTCGCCCCAGCAGCATAACGGTGTCATGAACCGCAAGCGTCCGGCTGTTCTTGGATCCACGAGCAACGCCATCAACGCGGACAAGCCTTTCGTTATTTCCATGTCCTCGCCTTACATGTCCAGCGCCTTCCCCGATAACGACCTGCCCGCTCCTGCACGATCAGAACTCCCCAGCCAGAAGCAGCCGATACCGCGCGCTAGCAACGCAAGTATGTACAGCACGTCCAGTCGACCCGACTCGGTTTGGTCCACTAGCAAGGCCCTCCCGCCGCCGCCGACCGAGACGTCCATGGTCAACGATCGTGTAGGCTACCTCAACGCTCGTCTCGAGTCACTTGGCAACCGGCGCATCAACATCAACCAAGCCATCAAGCAGATGACGGAGCTCATGCCGACCGACAGCATCCTGGCCAGCGAAGCCGTGCTACGCAAGCGCGAGGCGGAGAAGCGCAAGGTCGAGGCCCTCAAGGTTGAGCTGGCAGAGGTCCAGCGCGAGGAGTACGAAATAGGCCTCAAGCTTCATCGCGCCTACAAGAGGATGGATCGTAATGCGGAGTACGAGCCGACGACGCTCTGGGTGAGGAGGGTTACTGGCTGATCCTAGCCCGTCAGGGTGCGCTGCGATCTGGGCAGTGTTGCTGTCATCATAATGGCCGTTCGGATGGGGAGAGGGACTTGTTGCGGTTCGGGTTGCGAAAGCAGACGCGGAAGCGTTTCAGAGAAGTTTGCGCCGGCGACAGCTGGTTATTTGGTTTGAGCACGGAGTTTACGGACCCCTACCCTGAGCCTTTTACTCTGGGCAGGTTGAGATGAGTCAAGGTTGGTATGAATTGGGTTTGCGCGAACCCCTTTTTCTGAGGGCGTGTGCTTTTTTCTGCTTGTTGCTGTGTTTGATACCTAACTTTTCTTTTTTCCACGTCTTTTGCCTTGCTACCGACAAGACTCACACTTGTAGAAACATAAATTCTAGAAGAATTTTATTTTCCAGTGATTTGTTGGTTCTTTCAGTGAGGATTCCTTCCCCGATTTTTTATAATGGCCCAATGTTTTGAAACGGTGACATGTCCCGGGTAGCGTGTTCCGCATGAAATTTACCGAGGAGGAAGGGGAGAAAAACATTGGGGCTCAAAGATGTTGTTGGCATGCTATTTTGGTGCCATGGTGTTTGGCCGCGTGGGGCTTGGGGGAGTGAGGCTGGGATGAACTACGTGAAGATGGGCAGGCTTTGAGGAATTATACAAAGTGTCTGGTTAACGTTTTGAGGCTGAGTGGAGGTCGTTCGGTTGATGATGTGACCTTGCGGCGTCATGGAAGCGAATTCAGGAGCTGCATAGATTGCCCAGCTTTTGGGGAGGGAGTCCAGCTTGAGGCTGCGAGGTTGTTGGCAACAGTGATTGTCTCTGGAAAACTTTTGTGGAGACAACGGGGTTGGCTACGGGTTTGTTTTGCGCATTAATGAATACCTATCGTTGAGATGAATTGGAGATGAATGGCAAGGGTTTTCTGAGTACAGAGGGTTGTTATTGTGTATGGTTTTCGAGGTCTCGATGAGGGAGACATCGTACGACTCGGGTACTGAACCCAACCGTCTGGGGTTAAGTTGAATTGAGGCATAGGCAATTGGTCCATGTAGGCCACCCTTTGCTGCCTAAATAAGACGTCCTGGAATGTTAAAGTTCCCACTGACAAAAGCTAAGAGGGGAGAAAGTCGACATTTAGATTTGTAGCGGGGGCAACGTGACTTGGCAAGCTGGTATGAGATCTTAGGCGTCCAGTAATGGCTGGGATGCCAACATGATGGCCACAAGAGCAGGTGTTATATTGCCAAACTGTAATTCACTTGATATTGTACTGAGAAAAGGGAAGCGATTCGACAGACAGTTTCATTACAGAGACATACGAGTTTAGCGAGAAAGCCTGCGTTGTTGTTGGCCATCAAGGTGAACCCGCCGTGCTTTCAACAGATTCTAAGTGGTTGTGGAAACGCCACGATGTGAACGATCCATGAACTTAAACCCGGCTGGTCTTAAAAGGGATGAACCTCATTACCTTACTAGAGTTGAAAAGTCTAACTCTTGTTTCCCTGGGTCGACAACCACTTTGCGAATACTTTACAGCATTTCAAAGTCAGGACGTATCAACTTCACTATATACAAATAGAACCACCCATGGCAGATACCCAACTCCCCGACATGGAACCCACATGCCTCATGAGCCTCCCTCCCGAGATGCTCAACGAGATCGCTGACCACCTGGAGCTGCACGATCGCTACCTCTTCTCCGAAACCTGCAGACGCGCTCGGCGGCTGTTCGGAATGGACAAGGCCGCCTGGAGCCGTATCTTTCACGCGCCAGACCGACGCGATAGACCTCGGATCGAGGTTTTCCTCGCCGGCGTCGCCTTCGGGCGGCCGCACCACTGGCTCTGCATAAGCTGCGGCCGGCTGCACCGCGTGGCCGGAGATCCGCCGCCGCGCCCGAGGACCCGGCGCTGCGACCGGTCCGTGCCGCTCTACCCGCGCCGGCCGGGGCTGGGGTTGAGGATTTCGCACGTCGAGAGCGCGCTGAAGATGGCGCGGATGCTACAGGCTGGAGCGACGGGCGCGGACGAGGTGCGGGCACGCCTGCGTAACCTGTTGACGGGCGTCGAGGAGAAGCCTGTAGTGGACAGTACAAAGGAGCTGCAGTACCGTAAGGTCGGGGTGGAGTCGACGCCCCAGATCGTGTCGGGGATGTTCATTCTGCACACCAGGATGGAATTCATAGGGCCTCGGGGTCGGGGGGCGGCGAAGTTGGCACACTTTAAGCCCTTCCGGCTCTGCGAGCACCTGTACAGTATTAGCAACGGCGGGAATGACTTGGCCACTGACCTCAAGAACGCGTTCGGGAGGAGGCGCACCGAGAAGACGGGCAGCTGCGGCCGCTGCGGGATCGATTATGCAATCATTGCGAACCACGGGGGCTTTGTGGTTCAGTCGTGGCAGAATCTGGGACGCTATGATTGTCCGGACGATGCGGTCCCCAAATCCTTTTTTGAATTTCCACTGTACGTAGCTGTGAACGACCGGATTCGGAACTCTCCGATGAAGGGCGTCGGGCTCCAGGCAGGCCAGCGGGGATATATTCACGTGTCTGGTGAGATACGGGAAGCGTATAAGAGAGGGTAGAGAGGAGGTTGTACAGGGATGAGTTCTATTGCAACCGGAAAACTCCCAGCATTGGAATGGAATATGCTCCGCAACAGAACTAACAATCATCCAGAAGCTGCAGGACCTGTGGGTGACTGTAGCTACCTGGGTTTCGCATCAAAATCTTATTGTTCAAATAAGGGAGTTGGCCAAAGGTCGCGCAGATGAATCGTATCTACAATTTTCTCAGCTGCTAGATAATGAGATACCTTGAGGTATGACATGATATGTGGCCTAGAAGAACTTCTTCAGGTTCTGAGTGCATTTGGGTGCGATGGGGATGGCCATACATTGTGAACCTACTTGCGTGAGGGAGCGATACCTCTGTAGGAACGACAAAGAAATCCTCATTAGTGGTAGCTCAGTAGACCTCGAAGCTATGGTGGCCTTTTTCAAGGTTCTGCAAATCTGCTGCTTTGGGTAAGTTAGGTGACGATGCCATCCTTGTTATTACCAACACGAAGTTTTTGGTTTGTGGTGCCTCAGACTACCATTCGTGTATTTGTTGGCTACATTTATACTTGATCTTTTAAAATGTCTGCTCCTATTCCGCCTGAAACAACGTTTTCACGTGTGCTGAATGAGCCTCTGCGAAGCGACGACTAAGACTGAAAACCAATACTTCGATATCAGGCTGGCTACAACCCAGAAGTTGAAATGCCTTAAAGGTACCATCCATTGCGCACGGCGCCCAGGCACCGCTTGAAGACGATGACGTGGAGAAGAAGGTATCGTCCAGGTCTGAAGTGAAAGAAATCAAGGTACCAAAATGAAAGTTTTGGCCGAGCATAAGCATGCATTGAAAGAACCATGGTAGATTTTCGTCTTCAAATACTGGGCTCAGGGCACAATAGAGAGATTCAATCATCTCATCCTCGGTCAGCAGGCCGGAAGGGTCTATCAGGCCAGATATTAAGCCCCCCAGTCGGCCGTTGCACAAAATGGCGCAGATATCGTCCCATATAACACGCAGATCCGTTTCTTGGGTGCGCAATTTGCCTAGTACCAGGTCAACTACCTGTAATAACACGGCCTGGGCATTATAACGAAGAAAGTCTGGTGATCCTGTTCTTGGGCATAGCTGATTCTGCTGAGGCTCCAAGAGTTCGATGGCTCCAATGATCTCCTGAACAGGCAACATGATCTCGCAGTATCTCATTGTGGTTGCAGAGGTTTGCTGGAAGGTCCGTCGAAGAAGAGCAACAAATTTGCTCAAATGCGTAAGGCAAACGGTTTGTTGTTCAACACTGGCGTAGATATTGGTCCAGCCGAGTGCCGACTCGTGGTTGAAACTTGAAAAGATCATCTTTCGCATCGCAGCTGCAAGTAAGCATGCGAAATTGCTTACAGGCAGCTCTCGCAGAATCATCCTATTTTCCAAAGGCGCTGGGGAATCCAACTCGCGCTGAATCAGCCTGGCCATGTTTGATGCCGGAATGTCGTCATTCTTAACGTAATGCTCAAGATCCTTCTCGATGAAACGGATGGGGTAGAGCTCAGTGCTCCCATCCATTCTTAACCGAGAGCCACGAACAATCAAGGCTCTGAATGAATACGTCCGACTCCAATCTGAGTACCGAGATGCTAATGACTCGACTGGGGTGTGGTTGGAGAAGTTCGGCCCGCAAGAGACGTGGTTTATGTCCATGCCGATGCTGAGAATGAAATCAAGGCCGGCCAAATCTGCTACTAGAACACAAAAATGAAGCAATTCGTTTCTTGCGCAGAATTCGATGAGGTTACTCTTGTCAGCCCCCCTATCAATCAGTCGTCGGGCCAGTGACCAGTTGCGCAAAATGACGACGCGATGCAATGTTGTAGCGTCGAGCACGCCAAGCTCGTGAGGAAAGTCATCGTCGATCAGAAGTCGATTGGCGATGTCAAAGCGATCTCGTGAGATTTCTTGTATAGCTAACGAGAACTCATTGCCTTGGAATATCGATCCCCAGCTGTCACTATTCTCGTTTTGACAGCGGTCCGGCCAGGACGCTATCGCTAATTTCAGGTTTCCTCGACCGCATGCCACGTTAAAGATACTTGTTAACAGGCCGCGAACTTTCCGGGCTTCTGTAAGAACGGCAGCAAGCGTTAGTGATGCTCTGTCCTTGCTTGATGCGCTGGCGGTGGTCATTTGGTGGCAAACAAAGTAAACTTGGTTTGGCTCCAAACATTGAAGATCGAGACCTGCTTCGACAAGCAACTGAAACGTGCGTAAAAGCACAAGCTGAGGGGTGTTCGACTTCATTATGTTTGAAAGAGCATAGGAGTTCTCCTGCGACGACGTTGCCATACCGGACTTGACCAATAGATAGAGTATCCGGGTATCTTGAGTCGACGTCGCGACTTTGACTAGAGAGGGACCCATATTCATGATCCTTTCCTTTTCAAGCTGAGTAGATTGAGGAGCCGG